AGGGCAAGTGGAGGGTTTTAGGTAGCTCTAAGGGGATTTTTGTTTGGTCGAGCTAGGAATGGAGTTTGGTTGTGCTCTGGGACTGTTTAGCTTAATGGTGGGGGTTGGATGAGATGTATACTTGCTAGGCTTATGGTTACACAACTGGTCGGGGTCCGGTTACACAACTGGTGGGGCTCAGGTTACACAACTGGTCGGGCTCCGGTTAAATAACTGGTCGGGCTCCGGTTAAATAACTGGTCGGGCTCCGGTTAAATAACTGGTCGGGCTCCGGGGGTGTCACTTGAGCTTTGGGTTGTGCATGGTCGGGCTTCCGTTCGTGCATGGTTGTGATCCAGAGGTTGTTTGTTTGGTTCGTTCATGCTAGGCTTGCAGTTACACAACTGGTCGGGCTCCGGTTACACAACTTGTCGGGTTCCGATTACATTACTCCGGGGGTGTGACTTGTTGGGCTTTGGGTTGTGCATGGTTGTGCTCCGGTTCGTACATGGTTGTGCTCCTGTTCGTACATGGTTGTGCTCCAGTGGTTGTTTGTGTACTAGTGCTCCAGGTTTGTTTGCTAGGGCTCTGTTTCTTTGCATATGTTTGCTAGAAATTTGGGTTTCTTTTTTTGTGTATAGTTCAATTGTTTGATATGGCTCCATAGTGTGTTTCTAGGACAAGTGGAGGGTTTTAGGTAGCTTAAGCAGATTTTTGTTTGGTCGAGCTAGGAATGGAGTTTGGTTGTGCTCTGGGACTGTTTAGCTTTGTGGGGGTTGGATGAGATGTATACTTGCTAGGCTTAAGGTTACACAACTGGTCGGGGTCTGGTTACACAACTGGTCAAGCTTCGGTTACACAACTGGTCGGGCTCCGGTTAAATAACTGGTCGGGCTCCGGTTAAATAACTGGTCGGGCTCCGGTTAAATAACTGGTCGGGCTCCGGGGGTGTAACTTGGGCTATGGGTTGTGCATGGTCGGGCTTCCGTTCGTGCATGGTTGTGCTCCAGAGGTTGTTTGTTTGGTTCGTTCATGCTAGGCTTGCGGTTAGACAACTGGTCGGGCTCCGGTTTCATAACTTGTCGGGTTCCGATTACATAACACCAGGGGTGTGACTTGTTGGGCTTTGGGTTGTGCATGGTTGTGCTCCGGTTCGTACATGGTTGTGCTCCGGTTCGTTATGGTTGTGCACTGGTTGTTTGTGTAGTGCTCCAGGTTTGTTTGCTAAGGCTCTGTTTATATGTTTGCTAGAAATTTGAGTTTCTTTTTTTGTATATAGTTCAGTTGTTTGATATGGCTCCATAGTTGGTTTCTAGGGCAAGTGGAGGGTTTTAGGTAGCTCTAAGGGGATTTTTGTTTGGTCGAGCTAGGAATGGAGTTTGGTTGTGCTCTGGGACTGTTTAGCTTAATGGTGGGGGTTGGATGAGATGTATACTTGCTAGGCTTAAGGTTACACAACTGGTCGGGGTCCGGTTACACAACTGGTGGGGCTCAGGTTACACAACTGGTCGGGCTCCGGTTAAATAACTGGTCGGGCTCCGGTTAAATAACTGGTCGGGCTCCGGTTAAATAACTGGTCGGGCTCCGGGGGTGTCACCTGAGTTTTGGGTTGTGCATGGTCGGGCTTCCGTTCGTGCATGGTTGTGATCCAGAGGTTGTTTGTTTGGTTCGTTCATGTTAGGCTTGCAGTTAGACAACTGGTCGGGCTCCGGTTACACAACTTGTCGGGTTCCGATTGCATTACACCAGGGGTGTGACTTGTTGGGCTTTGGTTGTGCATGGTTGTGCTCCGGTTCGTACATGGTTGTGCTCTTGTTCGTACATGGTTGTGCTCCAGTGGTTGTTTGTGTACTAGTGCTCCAGGTTTGTTTGCTAAGGCTCTATGTTTATATGTTTGCTAGAAATCCGGGTTTCTTTTTTTGTTTATAGTTCAATTGTTTGGGCTCCATAGTGTGTTTCTAGGAAAGTGGAGGGTTTTTGGTAGCTCTAAGCAGATTTTTGTTTGGTCGAGCTAGGAATGGAGTTTGGTTGTGCTCTGGGACTGTTTAGCTTTATGGGGGTTGGATGAGATGTATACTTGCTAGGCTTACGGTTACACAACTGGTCGGGGTCCGGTTACACAACTGGTCAAGCTTCGGTTACACAACTGGTCGGGCTCCGGTTAAATAACTGGTCGGGCTCCGGTTAAATAACTGGTCGGGCTCCGGTTAAATAACTGGTCGGGCTCCGGGGGTGTCACTTGGGCTATGGGTTGTGCATGGTCGGGCTTCCGTTCGTGCATGGTTGTGCTCCAGAGGTTGTTTGTATGGTTCGTTCATGCTAGGCTTGCGGTTAGACAACTGGTCGGGCTCCTGTTTCACAACTTGTCGGGTTCAGATTACATAACACCAGGGGTGTGACTTGTTGGGCTTTGGGTTGTGCATGGTTGTGCTCCGGTTCGTACATGGTTGTGCTCCGGTTCGTATATGGTTGTGCTCCAGTGGTTGTTTGTGTACTAGTGCTCCAGGTTTGTTTGCTAAGGCTCTGTTTATATGTTTCCTAGAAATTTGAGTTTCTTTTTTTGTATATAGTTCAATTGTTTGATATGGCTCCATAGTTGGTTTCTAGGGCAAGTGGAGGGTTTTAGGTAGCTCTAAGGGGATTTTTGTTTGGTCGAGCTAGGAATGGAGTTTGGTTGTGCTCTGGGACTGTTTAGCTTTGGTGGGGGTTGGATGAGATGTATACTTGCTAGGCTTATGGTTACACAACTGGTCGGGGTCCGGTTACACAACTGGTGGGGCTCAGGTTACACAACTGGTCGGGCTCCGGTTAAATAACTGGTCGGGCTCCGGTTAAAAAACTGGTCGGGCTCCGGTTAAATAACTGGTCGGGCTCCGGGGGTGTCACTTGAGCCTTGGGTTGTGCATGGTCGGGCTTCCGTTCGTGCATGGTTGTGATCCAGAGGTTGTTTGTTTGGTTCGTTCATGCTAGGCTTGCAGTTAGACAACTGGTCGGGCTCCGGTTACACAACTTGTCGGGTTCCGATTACATTACTCCAGGGGTGTGACTTGTTGGGCTTTGGGTTGTGCATGGTTGTGCTCCGGTTCGTACATGGTTCGTTCGTACATGGTTGTGCTCCAGTGGTTGTTTGTGTACTAGTGCTCCAGGTTTGTTTGCTAAGGCTCTGTTTATATGTTTGCTAGAAATCTGGGTTTCTTTTTTTGTTTATAGTTCAATTGTTTGATATGGCTCCATAGTGTGTTTCTAGGGCAAGTGGAGGGTTTTAGGTAGCTCTAAGCAGATTTTTGTTTGTCGAGCTAGGAATGGAGTTTGGTTGTGCTCTGGGACTGTTTAGCTTTGTGGGGGTTGGATGAGATGTATACTTGCTAGGCTTAAGGTTACACAACTGGTCGGTTACACAACTGGTCTGGGTTACACAACTGGTCGGGGTCCGGTTACACAACTGGTGGGGCTCCTGTTACACAACTGGTCGGGCTCCGGTTAAATAACTGGTCGGGCTCCGGTTAAATAACTGGTCGGGCTCCGGTTAAATAACTGGTCGGGCTCCGGGGGTGTCACTTGGGCTATGGGTTGTGCATGGTCGGGCTTCCGTTCGTGCATGGTTGTGCTCCAGAGGTTGTTTGTATGGTTCGTTCATGCTAGGCTTGCGGTTAGACAACTGGTCGGGCTCCTGTTTCACAACTTGTCGGGTTCAGATTACATAACACCAGGGGTGTGACTTGTTGGGCTTTGGGTTGTGCATGGTTGTGCTCCGGTTCGTACTTGGTTGTGCTCCAGTGGTTGTTTGTGTACTAGTGCTCCAGGTTTGTTTGCTAGGGCTCTGTTTATATGTTTGCTAGAAATTTAAGTTTCTTTTTTTGTATATAGTTCAATTGTTTGATATGGCTCCATAGTTGGTTTCTAGGGCAAGTGGAGGGTTTTAGGTAGCTCTAAGCAGATTTTTGTTTGGTCGAGCTAGGAATGGAGTTTGGTTGTGCTCTGGGACTGTTTAGCTTAATGGTGGGGGTTGGATGAGATGTATACTTGCTAGGCTTATGGTTACACAACTGGTCGGGGTCCGGTTACACAACTGGTGGGGCTCAGGTTACACAACTGGTCGGGCTCCGGTTAAATAACTGGTCGGGCTCCGGTTAAAAAACTGGTCGGGCTCCGGTTAAATAACTGGTCGGGCTCCGGGGGTGTCACTTGGGCTTTGGGTTGTGCATGGTCGGGCTTCCGTTCGTGCATGGTTGTGATCCAGAGGTTGTTTGTTTGGTTCGTTCATGCTAGGCTTGCAGTTACACAACTGGTCGGGCTCCTTTTACACAACTTGTCGGGTTCCGATTACATTACTCCAGGGGTGTGACTTGTTGGGCTTTGGGTGTGCATGGTTGTGCTCCGGTTCGTACATGGTTGTGCTCTTGGTTCGTACATGGTTGTGCTCCAGTGGTTGTTTGTGTACTAGTGCTCCAGGTTTGTTTGCTAGGGCTCTATGTTTATATGTTTGCTAGAAATTTGGGTTTCTTTTTTGTGTATAGTTCAATTGTTTGATATGGCTCCATAGTTGTTTCTAGGACAAGTGGAGGGTTTTAGGTAGCTCTAAGCAGATTTTTGTTTGGTCGAGCTAGGAATGGAGTTTGGTTGTGCTCTGGGACTGTTTAGCTTTGTGGGGGTTGGATGAGATGTATACTTGCTAGGCTTACGGTTACACAACTGGTCGGGGTCCGGTTACACAACTGGTCGGGTTTTTGGGTTGCACATGGTTGTGCAACCCAAATCGGCCCAAAACTACTCAAATCGTCCTATTTGGTCCATAGAATTACCCATATGGACCGGCCAAGGGTAACAAGGATCAGCTGACGCTATCAACACAACATAACCCCGGGCCGCCATGCGTCTGACGTATAAAACCTTAATGCAAACTACACGTATCGCGAAAAAGACGACGACGTCTTGTTACATTGAATCCCTTGTATCACCTAGCAACAAGGTAGCACAAACATCATTCAAGGCCATTGAAGCCGTGGTAAGTCGTTAACAGACGCGTCATTGTGACGCGTCTCCCAACATTACCTCTCGGTCATTGGAGAGGAAAACCTTAGACTCAAACTGCATGTTCTAATCTATTTTTTAAGGAGAATGGCAGCATTGTGACGGTGCTTCCTGAACTGAAGCCCCAGTGAGGCTCAAGATTCAGCAACGTCTTCAAGTAACCTCAGGCAGAGCAAGAGGCAGACAGGTGAGACAACGCTCACTTTCGTCCGTGTTGCTGACTTGAGGGTGTTGATCATGCTATAGTCTTGCTCTGTCATGCTTACTGGGCTAAGGCTTTATCTTGCTCATGATTTTATCTTGCTCACACTTACCATAGCTGGCCAGGGCTCAACACAACCGTGCTCAGGCACCCCAGAAGCACAGGTACTTCACAGGTACACGTCTAAGGTACCCTCATATACTATCACTAGATAGTATCAAATCAAATGTTTATTAAGGTAAAAGTACATGCATACAAGACGACTTATGTGTTTAAGGTCAGGATTGGCATTACAGTTGAGTGTAATTGGTATTATACTTGAGAGGATGTGCAGTGACTTAATATCTTAACATTTTCAAAGATTTATGTAAGGGTACTGAGTGCTGTCTGGGGCCAGAGTGTGTTATTGTTCTAATAGCAGCTTTATGTTGAGTAATTGGAAGACTTAGATGATTTTGGGTAGTAGAACCCCAAGCACAAATACCATAATTGAGATAAGGATAGATAGAGACCTCATATAGATAGGAGATAGACCTCGCCCTAAGTTGTACAATTTCTGATTACCAGAGGGATAGAAGTTACTTAGCAATTGAGTTTACCAACAGACTTGCTGGTAAAACGGTAAACCTATCTAATAATATTAATTTTTTACATACTGTATGTGTAACAAGCTCTTTTAAGCCTGTAGATGATTGGACCATATTATGGTTACTGGTTAATCAAGTATCAAGTGAGCAAGATACTGATCATTAAAACTGAAAAAAAACTAGAACACCGGCACGAATAAATTGAACAAAATTCCCAACCTGCCTGAAACTTTTTTTTTTTTAATATTCTCCAGAAACAGTTTGAAACATGCAAGATAGGCTGTCAATGCAAATTTGTTAGGATAAGTATTTTATTTTTTTATTTTTCCATATTTCAGTACATCTTTTTTACAAATACAACACTACAGTAGTTTTTCAAACCAAATAGGTTATACTGTATTTAATATAATTTCTTTTCTTTTGCTTGGACAAGTTTTGAACCAGATATCTTGGGGCAGGTGTCTGGTTCAAAACTGAAGTGTAACTGTGGAAGACCACATAGAACTGTGTATTTTAAGTAATATATTACGTCTGCTGAGACTGGTTCCAAAATTTGGCCTTTTCTGATATTCGGATGCCAAAACTAGCATCTCTAAATTGAGAATTCGACACCTTGCAAATTTATAGACTTTGGTTATAAGTGATTATCAAGGAATCATGCCTTATCAAGTCAACCTAAAGTCAATATCCCTTAACGTGGATATTGAGATACTGTACTAGTGCTACTGATACTGATACTGTACTACTGTACTAGTGCTACTGATACTGATACTGTACTACTGTACTAATTATCATTTTTTTGTCTATAAATTTTGCAAGTATTTACCTCCTTAAAATTTTCTTAGATTAAGGACCTGCCCGAAACGCTGCGCATACTAGTGGCTTTACAAGACTGTAATTACCATATTTGTATCCTCACATTCCTTATGTACATTCTTGTATATGCATAAATAAATAAATAAATAAATAAATAAATAAATAAATAAATAGTTTGAATGCATGGGATGGGGTGAGAAAAATGTATCAAAACACAAAAACACAACTAAAAAGTATGGCTATCCTGTTACTGTGTCCAGTAATATCTGATCTTGATGCTCAGTGGTTCATAAGAAGTGAGCCACCAAACATAAGAGTACCTGGTGATGTCCCACCCCTGAGAGTCAATGTCTTGCTGTGGAACACCTGGGAACCAGGCAAAATTTTTTAGTTTTAGTAATGCTTCCTAATAGTAATGAAATTAAAATTGGCATGATAGAGATCATATTAAACATGGTTATACTGTACTGGCAAAATTCTCTTTCAAATGAGTGATGTATTTGACAGTCTGGAAAATGGCACCAAAGTGACTGGACAATTGGTGTGCATCTGGTAGTAGCAATGGGGTCCCGGTAGTACAGTCGGGTTCATTCTCGATGCACAATCGAGAATTTTGGGTTCGAATCCCGGGAGAGGTAGAAATGATTGGGCACATTTCCTTTCATCTAATGTTTCTGTTCACCTAGCAGTAAATTGGTACTCGGGAGTTAGATAGCTTGTTGTGGGGTTGCATCCTGGGCAGGGTCAGTAATTCAACTTGGGGGGGGGGGGCCTCGATACAAGCAAAAATGTGTATGAATACACCCTGGCTTCCTGTACCCCTGACACAATGAATTGTTAGTACTGTATTATCTTTTGGGTATTACATATACAGTACTGTACATTATTCATTTTAAGGTGTCTTTTTAGAATTATAACATACAGTAATGTACTATAAGTTTGCCAATAAACTTTTAACTATTCTTTTAGTAAACTGTGAATGTCAGAAACTTTCTTGAATATTATGTAACCGCTGACTTTTACTCTACCCTTGCACTTCTCCCAGAGATGTAGAATATTCCTCAAGTACCCTTCCTTACACCTGTTGTTCTTAACTTTACTGCAACCTCCATCTCTTTGGTTCTCAATACATTATTGAACCCCTTGGGTTTTTGCATTCATTTGGTTCTCACTCTTTTGGTTCTTAAAACCCATGTTCTTGCATAAATTTATTTTGTTGGTCTCGCGTGCCTGTTCTTAATGTATGCTTACAATTATTACCTACAGTACTAAAAATCTGGCATGTCTCATGCCCCTACAGAGGAGGACCTCTTGTTCTTCCAGGGGGGGTGGGTGTACCCTAGGTTAAGATGCAATGCCTTACACACATTTCCCAGTAATAAAAATTATAATAATGATGATGATAATAATTTTCATTTGTAAGAAGGTACAATGGGTTGGTGAGATTACATAAGACAGGTATTTTTACATTCGTCTAAAGCCATTAACGCGCATAGCATTTCAGGCAGGTCCTTAATCTAACATATCAGGTAAGATGAAAAGGTACATTGTAGCAAGGTTTTATATCAACAAATAACTACAGTGTAAATTGACAGAGGTGATTACACTGGTAAGGATATATGTCTTAAATACTAATATTGGGGAAGTGGGTAGTACAAGATACAGTGTGAGTATGAAGCACAAGGTAGGAAACTATGAGGATGAAATTAGGTACTTTTTGGTTTTACTTTTGAACCGGGTATGGGTTGGATAATTTTTTAATTCATCAGGGAGTGAGTTCCAAAGACTGGGCCCTTTTATTTGCATGGAGTGTTTGCACAAATTTAGTCTGACTGGGGGATATCAGAGATACTTATTTCTGGAGTAGTGCTCATGTAATTCCCAATATTTTTCAGGTAATCTCACACAATGGATGTCTTGGTTGACTCTGCAAAGTGGCTATTGGAGGAGGCAGTGAAAGACCTACAGCAAGTGAAGGATGTGTTGTGCGTCATTGGGGTCGTGTACGTAGGGAAGGTGACACTAACGGTGGTCTGCAATCTGGCTTCAGTGCTGAGGGTGCATGTCTGGTCCAAGCTGGTGTCCAGGAACCTGGTCAGAGAATACGGCGGCAAATGGGCAGGTGGGTCACACTGGCAAGGGTAAATCTTCCTGTGGGTTTAGGTTTAATCTTAATAGTGCTTATAGGTCTATAGTCTATAAGCACAACAAACAGTGATTGAATCATTTACATTGCTGTAACTTGTGTATTAAGCTATAGAGATATCAAAAGAATGGTTATAAACTAATCTTTAATTTGAAATCATGCATTAAAATCTGACCTGGGACCAGGCAGAGAGTAAAAAACTCTAAAAGACAAATTAGAAATAAAAATATTGTACTCATGAAAATAGTTGTGGAAGGTATCAGGATAAGATTGCAATACTTTTTCTGGTCAGTCCAGTCCATTCTAAACAGAGGTGCCTCTGGTTTGATACCCATGCTGGACGAGAACTTTAGGTATGTTTTCTTACCCCTGATGGCTCTGTCCACCTTGGCCTAGCAGTAAATATGTACCTAAGATTTAGGCAACTGTTGTGTGTTGCATCCTTGGGAAAATAAATCTTTGACCTAGGGCAATCTTGATAAGCTTAGCAAACCTGTCCTTACAATGGGAAACCAATATGTTTTGTTTGGTTTGGGTAGATTATGTTAGGTTAGGCCTAGTATGAGTGATTGTTTTAGGTTAAGAGCATGTTGTTAAAAGGGCTGTTTGACCTGAAAGTGAAAAAGATAAAATAATATTTCCATAACATTATCCAAGTAGGCCAACAAGGTGCACAATATAGCTGTATCTCTCATATTCACGATCTTTAGGCTAGAACTGTTAGATAAGGTTCTTGTCCATAATTTACTTTAATTAGCTTTTCTGGAGGCATCCCCTTCTGCCTTCCTGAAGCTGTGATCTCCGTTAGTGTGTCATACTAATAGGTCCCATCACCCACAGAGGTATATAAGCCGACCAGGGACCAGAACCTGGCCGCCTCACAGGTACAGATAGCAGTGGTATTTATGTATTAAGGTATTAATTTATGCTACCCACCGGGAAAAACATCCAGAAAGTCGGCAAAACAAAACAAACCACTACTGGCTTCATATGAGACCTCAGCCATGAGAACCACCTAAGGAACTCTCCAAACTATGCAAGCAAATAATAGAAAATTCACGATACTAGCACCAACTCGTTCACTTAACTTCCCCCACTCATTTGTGGGGAGGAAGGAGATGGCTCAATGATTGATGAGACTTAGGACTTTAACTGGGTAGTTTGTAGTCCCAAAGGAAGATAATGGCTAGTACGATATTAGTTTTATTATTGATGTTACTCTCTATTTTGTTTATCTGTTCTGTGAATTCCTCAACTGTTGCATCTAGTAGTTTGTATATTAGAATAATAGTTAGGTTTGTCTACTTTGATTCCAAGTACTTCTACCACTTATTTAATATACAGACCTATCTTTTAACCCAAATAAGAATTAGGATTATCGAATGGGGAACTCAAAAATATTTAAGTTCAAGTTTTTGGACTTCTCTATTAGAACAGAAATTTTGGTCACAGTACTGAGATTTCTGCCAAACAAAAACCAGAGTAAATGAAAAAAAAATCATTTTTGGACAATCTTGGTAAAAAACTTCACTTACTCAAATGTCCAGTACATTCAGATATTTTTTAATTGGGTAAGATATGATTTCTGATGAAGTATGTTAGCTGTTTATGCAGTAGCTCCTTCCCTAATTGACTTCATTATTTATTTACAGTTGTGACAGGTTCTTCTGATGGCATAGGCAAAGGATATGCCGCTGCCCTTGCCAAGAAGGGCATGAATGTTATGCTGATCTCCCGCACCCAAGAGAAGTTGGAGAAGGTTGCTCAAGATATACGTATGTTTAAATTATTTTAAATTGTTAACTCTATGATTTTCACTCTGGTCATAATGGGCAAAGATCTTAGGTTTTAGCCTTCATAATGTATAAAAGTTTCTTTCTTTGTATTAGTGTGTGTATGCAAGACTTTCAGGGATGCCACTATCTTAGTTAACTCTTTAATTTCTACTCGGGTATTCATTACAATGTTTCCTCTTGCATTTGATGCAAGAGGAAATTTCCTACATTTTGAGCTGACAGGGTGGCAGAATGTTCAGTATTTTCATAAAAATATCAAAGAACCAATGACTAAAAGAAAAAAAATGGGTATGCCGATCATTCTTTGGCCAGTTGGCTATGAAGCACAATCTCTTGGCACCAAGAAGCAGAGGCGTGTTTGTACGCAAACTGAATAGGTACCATAGCTGAAGAGAAAGCAATTGTACTTTGGCTCAATAACTAGACATAAAAAATTATTATTGGATCAATATTCTGACCGTCAATTAATGTCAAATGTCTTTGCACAGGTGGCCAGTATGGAGTCCAAACAGAGATTATGCAAGTGGATTTTGCTCTTGGCCAACCAATATATGACGATATTGGTAAACGCCTTGCAGGCAAGGACATTGGAATTTTAGGTAAGTATAACCCTTTCCTTAAAACAGTAGAAAGGTTTGTGTGATAGGTAATCTTTATATAAATTTTATTTCCTGATGATTTCAAGGATACGGATGGCTGAAGAGAGAGATTGAATGACCACAACATGGATCAGCAGGCTATGATAGTCTCGAGCCAACAGCTCAAAATTTTTATTTTTTAAAAGTTATTCTAAATTGAGTAAAACAAAAATTGATGTACTGATGGGTTGATGTAATTGATGAACTTACTGGATCCCGTAGCCTCTCCAAGGCACAAACCAGGATTTTACACAACTCCCCCCTGCACCCGAGCTATGTCAATAGGCCGTTCTTTCTCTTCGCCCTTATTAGTGTGATCTCTGTGTGGATAAAGTGAGGTTTTTGTCATGCTGATCCCTGGAATAACACAATCGTCATATGTTTATTTTAGTAATAATTGCCCAGTTTTTACACAAATAATGTATATATGATCATAATGTATTTGTGTTTTTATATCTACACGATATGAATGTAAAGGAGTTAGCCAAATGCCATGATAAATTCTGCCATAGTTTTTAATTACTATATGATAAGGGTTATCGAGTACCAATGACCTGCAATTATTTTTCAAATCACAATTAAGCCTGTTGTCAGTGTTTTAAGTATATTTGTGGATAATGTTCCCAGAAAGACTAGCAGGAGGAGAGCATTGTAAGATACTTCCTTTGATTTATGATGGGAGCTGATTTAAGTGCAAAAATAGATGTACATATTACATTGTAGTTTGTACAGTAGGCCTATACACAATTCACTGCTTACTTTCATCAGTATGTGCACATAAATCAAGTTAACACAAACATTAGTTTTTGCAACAAATTAAGTGAAGGCATGAACATAAATTCCATCCAAGTTGGCTATCTTGAGTCCTCTTTTCCCCTCGTCAACCTATCATCAACTTTAAGTATCTTGTGTTACTGGACCCAGTGTCTCCCGCACCTGGCTTCCTCCTACTGTGCACAATTCAGAAGAGAAGGGAACTATCAGGGAAAAGGGCCAAGCCATTACGACTATAGCACTGGGAAAAGATCAGGATAAGGATTTGGGATGGGACGGGGTGGAGGAATGGTCCCCAATCACTTGGACAGTCGGGGATTGAACGCCGACCCGCATGAAGCGAGACTGTCGCTCTGCTGCCCAGCCCAAGTGGTTGGACTGCACATAACCAGAAAAAGATGTACATTTTTCCCTTCTTACTTCATGCATGCAATGTATAGGAGCCAATTTTTTGGTTTGTTTCTAGGGAAGGCCTCAGTGGCTTCCTGAAGATATCTCGCTGAAATGGCTCCCACCTACTAGGTCACATCATATGCAGAGTTGTTTGGCCTTAAGTGTACTGACTTGAAACTCTCATCATCATGTATTGTAATGTAAAGGACATCCCTGTTGTTAGGGTCTTAAGATACCTAGCCTCCTGGTGCTAAGATTTTAAAGCCATTATGACATATTATTAATGCATAATATACTGTTGATTACTGTATGGTATTTACAACACTGTTTGCATATTTTGTCCACTCCTGCTTTAGCATGCTTTGCTATTAAAAGTGAATTGTGAAGACTTCAGTTGGTATTAATTTTGTTAAGTGTGCTGAACACACTACTATTAAAGTTACTTGTAAACTTCAGAGTTTGTAACTTTAATGTAGTATAATACAGTTTCAGTGGATGGATACGGATATGGTTCATGTATGATCACCTTGTACCTGGAATAAGCATCTTAATAAATCGATTGTTAATCCAGAATGACTCGATAATGGTTCGGGACGGACCGAAACGTCGTTGTCTCGTCATCTTCTAGTGTGTGATTTGGTCAACATAACTTCAGTCACGTTATTATAACTCGTCGTCTGCATCTTGTTAAACATTAGCAATGTTATGTTTTGCTAAGAATAAGCTGCAATAGCATGGGTGAAACTATGACCCTAACCCACACATTTAAAATGGAAATGAAGATGTTTTGGTCCATCCTGGACCCTCATGTTTGTATACCTTTTCAGTTATTGTAAAAATGCTTTTAGCAGTCATCCACCAGTTAAGTAGGATTGTAATGTATTCTCCTCCTTTCATCTTCAGTCAACAATGTCGGACTGGTTGGTTCTCTCCCGTCTTTCTTCAAGGATTTGCCTCAAGAGGATATCTGGGCAATTCTTAATGTAAATTCAGCAGCTGCAGCTTCTATGACAAAATTAGTGCTACCTGGCATGTTAGCACGCAAGAAGGGTGCCATCATCAACATTAGCTCAGTTGCAGGATGCATGTCCCTGCCACTTTTTCAGATGTATTGTGCAAGTAAGGTAAGAGGCGCAAGGATTGTGGAGGTGTGTGTTGATATAGGGGTTGATGAGTGCGTGTAGTCGCCTATTGATACTTGACTTATTTGTGCCCGTGGATTGAGCTTCAACTCTTGGATCCTGAGCAATCCTGTCACCTAGTCTATACAGCATTCATCATGGCACCTGTCTTTGTTATCGCATAGTGTAATGGCGTTTCTTGCCCATCTTCACTTTCCTATATCAGCACTCTATATTCTCCATGGTACCCATCTTCACTTTACTGATCAGTCTGTTGCCTATTCTTTATTTGTCTATATGACCTGTGTTCTTCATTATGTCTATCCTCATTCTCTACATCATAAGGTATATATTTTTCATGGAAATAATCTTCCCAGATGCTTGCTGGCTTGTATCTACTTGAACTTTTGTTGTCTGTCATCAATGAAGTTAGCATTATAATGCCACCTCAATTTGAGGAATCTTGGCTCCAATGACACTTTTTCATGCTGAATTTAACATAATATACTGTAAAATCATTTTGTTCTCTTTTTCAGGCATTCATAGACCACTTTTCTGAAGCATTGGATTATGAGTGTCGGTCATCTGGTATAACTGTGCAGAATATCACACCTTGTGCAGTCTCAACCAACATGACTAAGTTTGATCCACTAATACATAAACAAGGTAAGATTGTCAAACTGAAAATAAACATTTGCATTTAATTTTAGAGTTTGCAAAAATTTTAATAAATTGATTGATCTGGTATATGGGCTACAATGTTTTTCTGGGAGGGCACTCCCCATAGCTCCCTGTGGTTATAACAGTGGGCTGTCGAGCCTTAGGAAATTGTACAAGACCTCTTGAGACCCCACTTGAGCCTGCCCCAGAGGAAGAACCCAAATCTGTCTTTCTATGAGTTGAGGAATGTTTGTGGATCATAGATCTACCCAAAACGGAAAAATCCATCATTGAAAGTAATGAAATGCATCTTTCTGGTGGGTCCCATCATCGGCTTCCTGAGCTAGCCTCCTGGTCAGTTCCGAGTCTGTCATGCCCCACCAGGCCCTTAAGAGTCATAAGTGCCAACTGGAGACCAGAAGCAAAATCTGGTCCACTCAGATGCAAACTGCATGGAGAAACATTGGTAACAAGCTGAGGGAGCCACAGAGGAAAGCCCTCCCAGAAAGTATAAGTACATTAAAACGAGCAACTGATTGATGAAAATAAATAACCCTGAGGTTATTTACTAAAGATCGAACCATGTCTCTTTGTGGTCCTTTGGTGACAATTTAGTGTCCAGAGGGCACCCCCAGATCTTTCTTTATCAAAGGGCCTTAAAGCCTTATTACATAAATTGTAGATTGTGTGTGGCCTATTTTATCTTATTCCACATTCCATAACATGGCATTTATTCATGTTGAATTTCATCCACCAAGTGTTTCTCCATATACTTGTTTTGTCCAGGTCATCTTGAAGGGCACACAGATTGTCTTTTATCCTCCTTAGTAGCTTAGCATCATCAGCCATCATGTTCATATAAATCTGTATTCCCTCTGGTAGATCATTTATATTTGTTTATATAGACAATTTATGTAGACGGGCCAGAACCTGATCCCCTTCACAGAGGTACAGAGTGGGTGACACTGCACCAGAAAAGCATCCAACCATATCTTTCCTGTAGAATCTTTGTGATTCTATCATAAAAGTAGATTTGTTACACAGGCTCTTCGTGTTTGAAAAACCTTACTGTCTATTATTATCATTTCTCTCCAGGTATTGTATCCATTTGGTTTTAACTATTTTTTCTAGTGCTTTGACTATGGGGTTTCACACATTGCCTTCATGCGCTGTGGCTATGATATAGGAGTTTTACCTCCCATCCCCAATGCTTCTCTTCAAATGCACTAAGAAATCACATTTATGTGCTGTATTGGTGAGAAAATCAGTGACTCCTACTGAAGTGGTGCAAAGTCAGATCGTGTTTCAAGTATTTTTTGGGGTGGCTCACTTTTTGAGGCAATTGATGCCACCCTTTTCATGCCCCTTAGACAATAGCCAATTGGTAGCTTGATTCGAATCTGCCCCCCCCCCCCCCCCCCTGCTTTCAGCTCTTCAGGTCATTGCAAGTTTTGGGTCGACTTGTGTGCCATGCACCACTATTTGAATAAGTCTGTGGGCTATAGCTACCCTGATGGGTATTGGACAATTTTCCAATGGTCACTATCAGAAGTTTGTACTAAAGCAATGATATTTTCTAAGCTCACTTTATTTTTCACATACATAAGTACATTATTTATATATTATATAATATATATATATAAAATATACACACAGTATATATTTTCATATTTGTTCTGATAGGTTTCTTCACTCCGAGTCAATCCAAGTTTGCTTCTCATGCTCTCTCTACGCTGGGTTATGCTCGTAATACCACTGGATACTGGACCCATGGAATTCAGGTGAAGTTATATGCCTAAACTTCTTTGTTTTATTTTATTTGTATTTATTTGTTTATTTATACAAGAGTTCTTACATTCTTGTACAGCTACTAGCACGCATATAGCGTTTCAGGCAAGTCCTTAATCCTAATTTTCCCCGGAATATGACCAGCCAGATTGTTTAACAACCAGGTGCATTCACTGCTGGGTGAACAGAGGCTACAGTTAAGGATTGGCACCCAGTCAATCCTCCCTAGCCAGGATATGACCCCAGGCCAAAGCGCTCGCGAAATACCAAGAGAATGTGTTACCATTTCCCCATGGGGACTGCATTGATTTATGCGAAGCAGCTTACATAGTCTATCCTTTCTGAGGTATGGGTAAGACCAGTTTGGGTTTGGTTTCAAGAAATATTCAGTTTGGTCAGTATTGTAAAAAAAGAGATCTATGTTAACAAAGCTGAAAGCATTAAATCAATATCGTCTGGAGAAGCTGACACATTATTAGGAAGCAATCTTCAGCCTTGAGTTTTAACCACTGTTCTAATACAAAAGAACTTAAAACTCTCACGAAATGTCAAATAGTTTTCAACATTTAAATAGAGGAGACATTTCCCATAATTTACTGCATTCAAATATTTGATAGATATGCATTGAAACATCATTGGAAATCTTTAAGACATTTCAGATGTTTTTTCTCCAAACTTATCCTGTTTCACACTATGGTTCACATACTACAAGCAGTCAAGATAAGCACACACTATTACAGTAGTTAATCAGTTTTTTCCAAAACATCTAAACAAAAACGATTCTTCGCGGCAGGGGATCGTATTCCAGGGACCATAGGATTAAGGACTTGCCCGAAACGCTACGCGTACTAGTGGCTGTACAAGAATGTAACAACTCTTGTATATATCTCAAAAAAAAAAAAAAAAAAAAAAAAAAAAAAAAAGATTGTTTAATCTTTTCAATGTCATGATAGTGTTCAATAAATCGTAATTTCTATATATCCCATGCCTTAATGATAAAGATCATCTGGATTTATATATCCAGTGGCTTGAATTATAAACATCTGGATTTATATATCCCATGCTTTGAATGATAAACATATGGATTTTTCATAATGCCACTTCTTATTTGAATTGCTTCATTTCTTGTTGATAAAATCATCTATTGTGGCAATCATGTCCATGGATTAACAGCATGGCAATGATATATATAATTGCAGAGCAGTGGGCAGTTCATGAAAAGTTGATGTTGCTTGAAAGTTTAAATGATTATTATTCATTTTCCGTGCTGGACCTTCGGTAGCTTCCCAGAGTTTAAATGACAATCTGAATGTTGGGCTTTCAAGGCCCTTCTTGGCCTACCAGGAGTCGGAACCGATATCTGTTCCTCTTAAGTAAGGAGACAAGGGAAGCACATACGTATCAAATATGAACCCACAAAGTGAACATCTCAAGAAGTTGATTGATGAAGTAAAATCCTCAACAAGACAAAAATGAAAATGCTAATGAACCCAATTGACAGTTTGTGCAGATAGCTACACCTAACACAGCTTCATAGGTCCTGTGGTAAGCCCAGTCTGATCACAGCTGAATGGCCTTGGATTAGCTAGGTCAACATTTCCCTTACCCAATGCCTTGGTTCACCTAGAAGTAAATACAGTCGGTACTGGTACTTTGGAGTTGCAAATCCTTCAAACAGGATGCAACTATTGTAGGTCACATCCTGTTGAAGGTCAATATTTGACCTAGGGGGAACCTCAGTAAAGCTTAACAGGTTTCTTATCCCCAAATCTAGTAAACCATAAAGTGAACTATATAGTGTATTAACGAACTTATGGCTGCCACCAGGTGTCCCAGCTGGCCTCCACGTACTCTCCTTATATGCTTTACTCCTAGGCTAGTCACCAAAGAATCATCCAAGCATCTGCATATTCTGTCTGCACTGGCTAATCCAAATCATATAAGGCCCACTCCACTTCGAATTAGGCAGACTTGCAAACTAGCCAATTTTTTTTTACTGGGAAAGTTAAAAATGATCATTTGTAATTTTTTGTGCCATAACCATTGTAATTCAAATCTCTACATACTGTAAACATAAATTTACATGATTAGGGGAGGATCTTCATATACTGTATATGTACATGCCTCAAATACAGTAGTTTATTAACAATAATAGAAATTTGAACTTGTTGGAGTGTGTCAGCTTGCTTGATGAAGGATTCAAGTAAGTTCATTCCTTATTTCTACCTAACACAACACTGAAATTACTGTACATAAGCATTTTCACAAAAGTTCAATGACATAACTTCTTATTAATAGAGTGCGTAAAAAAAACGCTTCTTCTAAACACCTTCATGATAATTGCAGTTGTCACTGGACATGGTATTAGCAAAAAATTATCAGTTACTATGAAGGCAAAAAAGTTAGGGTGGAAAATCTTTAAGTAATGGAGCAAAATATACACCAATGCTACCACTCCGGCAAACCCCTCTTCTATGGGTGCCATGTTCTTAAGAGACTATTGCAATTGTAGTTGCTATTTTTATGAATGTTTCATAATACATGCATGTATTATGAGAGATGCTGGCATAGGAAACCATTCCTGATTACTCTCATGCATTTTAGCTACCTCTAGTTTGTTGTCAAGTCTATCCTACAGCTAAGCATTAATCCAAGTTAGATTGTTTCAGTAAGTAGCATTTTCCATGTACTCTCTGGGATAAGTATTTTCATTTACCTGAACATATCCACAAGGACCATGATGATGGTTCGAACCTACGTCTGAAAGGATCCCAGACGTGCCTTGATTGACTGAGCTACGACATGGTAGTTCAATTACCTGATTACACACAGAAATCACAATAACGTGATGCATCAAATGAACAAACCCACAAGGGCTGTGACGAGAAGCATCCCAGACTCTGCCTTAAGGCAGCGTCTGGGATGCTCCTGGACGCAGGTTCGAATCCTCCTCACGGCCCTTGTGGATTTGTTCAATTACCTGTTTTCCCTCTGTTGTTGAAATGTGATTGTACCCCTAAACAGTTTTCCCCTCAATTGTGACTGGTACTAACTGATACTCTTATCTTTCAGTTATGGCTCACTCAGGCAATGCCATCGTGGCTGATGGTCAACGCATACATGTGGAGGTACAAGTCTTTTACAAAGAAATCAAATTGAATGTTTTTTGTCTTTAAATTTACATGGCAGTAAATCACTTGTAAAAATATAAAATTCACTGGATCTATGTGGATTAAACTGTTAAAGAGGACTGAAAATATTTGAAATACTCCTTGTTGAATAATTCTAAGTCGTTTATTTTGTTGTCGATTCATCCATTATCTATGTGTATCATTTGGAAAATATCTTTTGCAATATAATTGCATGCTAACCATTGAAGGTTTTACTAGTTATCAATTGATATAAATGAAAAATATGACATTTTCACTGTTTATTAATAAAGGGGTCTACAAGCAAAAAACTTTCCTTATCCTTTTGTACATTTATTTATTTACTTATTTATATATATATACAAGACAGTACACTGTACATTGGATTTATGAGAGTACATAGCATTGATGTTTTTACATTCTTATAAGGCCGCTAACATGCATAGCGTTTCGGGCAGGTCTTTAATCTAACAGATAATTTTAAGTAGGTAATTTGTAGCAAAATTGAAAAATGTTAACAGGTACATTTGTAAGAAAATTTGAAGAAAATTAGAAAATATGTGTGTGTGTGTGCCTCTGTTCTCACCTAATTGTGCTTGCGGGGGTTGAGCTCTGGCTCTTTGGTCCTGCCTCTCAACCGTCGATCAACTGATGTACTGATTCCTGAGCCTACTGTGGTCTATCATATCTACATTTGAAACTGTGTATGGAGTCAGCCTCCACCACATTATTGCCTAATGCATTCCATTTACTAACTACTCTGGCACTGAAAAAGTTCTTTCTAATGTCTCTGTGGCTCATTTGGGTACTCAGCTTTCACCTGCGTCCCCTTGTGCGTGTGCCACCCGTGTTAAATAATCCTTTGTGTGTCTCTTTGTGTGCCTCTGTGCGTCTCTGCGTACATGTGTGTGTGTGTGTGTCTGCGTGTCTGTATGTGTATGTATTCATCTAGTTGTGCTTGCGGGAGTTGAGCTCTGCTTTTTCGGCCCGCCTCTCAACTGTCAATCAATCAACTGTTACTAACTACTAGCTAACTTTTTTTTTTCTTTTTATACACACACCCAGGAAGCAGCCCGTAACAGCTGTCTAACTCCCAGGTACCTATTTACTGCTAGGTATTCAGGAGTATCAGGGTGTAGGAAACTCTGCCCATTTGTTTTTTCCGCCGGCTGCCGGGATCGAACCCTGGTCCCTAGGTCTATGAATCTAGAGTGCTGTCCACTCAGCCAGCCAGCCCCCCTGTGTGTCTATCTGTGTTTATCTGTGTCTGTGTGTATCTGTGTCTGTCTGTCTGTATCTGTGTCTGTCTGTGTATACCTGTATCTGTCAGCAGCCCATTGTCCTGTTTTGGTAGTACTTACAGGAAGGATGACGACTATAGTACATGTGGTCCTCGCTACCTTACAACAAATAGATTAAGGACCTTGGAGTCAGAATCCATCATTCACTAAAAGTTGCACAACAAGTGGGACCGGCAGTAAAACAAAAAGTGAACCAAACCCTGGGAATAATCAAGCGTACCCTTTCAAGGAAAAGAAAGTAGTCGTTCAATTGTACAAGTCTCTGGTGCGCCCCCACCTAGATTACTGCATCCAGGCATGGATAACTCGTCTTCAGAAAGACATGGCTTCTCTAGAGAAGGTGCAACACCGGGCAACAAAAATCATTCCAGAACTTAGTCATTTCATGTATCAGGAACAGTTGAGGGCCACTGGGCTAACAAGCATGACGGCAGTTCTCATCGAAACCTGTCTCTGCCTGGTCGAGGACTGGGCCGCGTGGACGCTAAGCCCCGAAACCAACACAAGGTAACTACTGAACAATTTGGAGGATGTTGATCCGTACAATTTCTTCAAAAAGTTAAATGTAAGACAAACGAGGAGCAACGGTTTTAAGCTCGACAAGCCACAATGTAGGACTATGGACAGATGCTTTTTCACCCACAGGGTATTTAACCTATGGAATCGCCTACCCACCGAAGCTGTAAACGGCAAAACTCTGCTGGGTTTTAAAATAAAGCTGGAAAAAATCAGGGCAAATGGGAGGACCCTTGACAAACCGCCGGCTTCCTGCCCTTATCGAAGCCACCAGTATTAGTGGCCCTTGGGTAAATTCAGGTTAATATACCGACGTTCGACACAATTAGAAAGTAGAAATCAGTACTAATGAATTTGAACAAACCGGAAAAAGATTTTCTATTTATGTTGCAAAGACAAACTAAACTAGCTAAACCTTCCTAGGTCTAATACATGTATTTGAGGCCTAATATAGTGAGTTATACTAGGCCTCGGAATATTTAATTTTGTTTATTAGCTTCATTTTTTGGACTATAAAGTGAATAGTACAAAGTTCTACTGTATAATTGCTTAGTACGTCAATGTTTGTACTATGGTGCACATAGTTACAAAAACTACTATCTAAACAAGAGGAGGGATTGGTACAATGCACCCTAGCTTATGTTATGAATGTTGTTGTAAGTTATGAATGCTTAGAATGTTGTAACAGAACCCATGGGCACCAAACTAGAAACAAATATCTATTTGATATTCCAAGAGTACGACTTAACCAAACTAGAAATGCTCAGTAAGTCAAGGGATCCAAAATGTGGAATGACCTTCCCAATCATGTCAAAGGCTGTACCTCTCTTAACCAGCTTAAGAGTGAAACTAAGTACCTGTACCACCTAATAAACTTCATGTAACCTACCTTACCACCTAAATGTCAACCTATGTCTTACTATTTTCAAAGAATATTGATTATTGACCATCTTATTTTACTGCTGATATCTGCCATGTATTAACTTAATGAAAATTGTAATCTTTTATTTAGTTAAAATTCCTTCTGCTGCTGTGTTGCATTTTCTGCTGTTTCATTTATCATGTGATTATTATCATTCGCTTTTTCTTTTTTTCGTTGTTTTAATTCAATTTATGCTTTTGGTCTGAATTAGTATTGAGTTTTTTCACACCTTGCCCGAAATGCTGTGCTTATTAGTGGCTTCAGGCATTGTATGTACAAGCTCTAGCTATTAATCCAACATTACGTTTGTAATTCATTTTCAATGTATGTACCTGAATAAACATCTTAATATATGTTAGTTGTTTAATTTAGAAACTGTACTTGGAATCTGTCTCTAGCCCATTGTTCCATTGCAAGGTTTCAATGGCTGTTCTCGAATCTGTATGCATGATAACATGTTTGGTATTCATATGTGCATTGAATTTTGTAACCAGTTCATCAAGATTGTAACTTGCTTAGCTAAATGAATTGTGGGGTTCAGTCCCTGAGCCCATTATGTGCCTCTGTAACCCTTTCCACCACCGCCCACAGGATGGGTATGGGGTGCATAATAAATGACCTAAACTAAATTAGTATTTCTAACTCCTGCTCATCAAGATTGTAACTTGCTTAGCTAAATGAATTGTGGGGTTCAGTCCCTGAGCCCATTATGTGCCTCTGTAACCCTTTCCACTACCGCCCACAAGATGGGAATGGAGTGCATAATAAATGAACTAAACTAAACTGTCCTTACAATTGTACATCACTCATATGTTCTTTGTACATATATTCTAATGAATAAACAATATTAATATTAGTATTAGTATAATATAGATATATATGTATATAGTATAGCCATACAAAGGTAGTTGGAGGTGGTCCGTCTAATTACCACAAGCTAACACAAGCTACACAAGCTTCACAAGCTTCCTGGCAATACGTTAGTAATGAATAAATTCGATATATTTACTCGTTATAATGTTGGTGCTGAACGTACAACACGAAAAAACATAATTTTAATCTGAAAAAGTTACTTTTTCAGATTAAAATTATGTTTTTTGACAAGCTTTTTTAATCTGAAAAAGTTACTTTTTCAGATTAAAATTATTTTTTTTTCGTGTTGTACGTTCAGCACTAACATTATAATGAGTAAATATATCATATTTATTCATTACTAACGTATAGCCAGGAAGTTTTCTGAAGCTTGTAGTTTATAGGCTTGTGTAGGTTGTGGTAATTAGACGGACCCGGCTGGAGGGCTCCGTACTGGTGCTGCCTTGGACGTGTTTACCATGCCAGTGTTGGAGGGTCGTGGCTCAGTAGGTGATAATGTCTTGTCTTCGCCCTTATCTTGAGCTTATCACTGCCTTACACACTATCCTAGACACACACAATATTCCTCAGGTACTTTATATTGTACATAGTATTTTACCTCTAACCAATGACGCCGGATTGGGCTGCTATTGAACACTCTGCGGTCTTAAATTAGTAATTTAGCTACTTGTGACCTTTTGGGCTAATTTGGGTTACTAATGTTAAGATAGTCAATGGCTTATTATATATGCATTTATATTGTAATGTGTGTAAATCACAGCAGCGTCCAACTGCCTGGTTGATCAGACCACGAAAGGATGCCAGGTCAGAGACTGGGCCCTGGAGACGTTGATCCTCGGAACCTTGGAAAGAAAAAAGTAACCGCAAGGTAAGGTAATCTTTCCCAGAGGCAATAGATTTCATGACCTTAATTGTCATTAATGCATTATCCCGGGTAATATCTATGCAAGCAATTCATCCTCATGAAATGATACTACTTTACTATTTGGTGTAAGGTACCAATATGTAGTGATGGACCACCTACTTATAGATGAGTAGACATATTGCATATTCAATATTATATAGCTAAACTCGGTAGAATTTTACATCAGTTTATAGGACTAGTTTCAGTCACAAGTACTACCTCTGAAGCCTGAACATCAATACTGTACCTCAAAGATTATTCTGGCTATATTGAAGTTGATTTGAAGTGGCGTCTTACACGGACAGTGCATCAACTCTGTGTGGACCTCATCTCTCACTTTACACTGTGAAGAAGTTATCCATTATTTGTTTCTTATGAGTACAAGTGACAGGATGGACAACCCAGCGGGTTTTCTTCTTATTGGCGGGTGTTGTACATGCTGCTATGGCGGTGTGTCCACTCACAGGATGAGTGGCGCTGCCCAATAAACTCGCCCCTTGGGGCAAAATAAACATAAAAATAAAAAAGGTAGTACAGTAATTCAATTTTATTAACCTCTGATGCAAACCATTTGAAATATTATATCCAAGCAGAGAGACCTCATCTTCAGGACATATCTGCTTATGAGAAAGTTTTATACTGGAGGACAAAAGTCATCCCAGAACTAAGTCGACTCACACCAAGAATGGTTGAGAGCCACAGGCCTGATATAATTGAAACTTAAAATACTGAATAATGTAGAGGACATTGATTCAGACCACTCCTTCAAAAGGTCAAATGTAACACAAACAAGCAGCAATGCTTTCAAGCTCAACAAGCCACATTGTAGAACAAAAAAAAAAACAGGAAATGCTTTTCCATTTTTAAGGTTAAAAATCCATAGAACCACTTACCCACTGAAGCTGTAAATGCCAAAACGTTGATGGAATTTAAAATCAAGCAGGATAAAATCATCGCCACAAATGGGAGAATCCGTCAGGTAAATTCAGGTAAAAGGCTGCTTTATGGGCATGACTTTATGTGATGGTCAGGTATCAAAATATCAAGATTTAACAGCATTCACAGTCACTTATTTTTTTAGAATCTGAATTTTGAAAGGAATTTTTAATTCCTTTTGGAATTTTGGAAATGAATTTTTAAACTTGGTTGCCAGAGTTTATCCATTAAGCAAAGGGCTCCATTATAATAGAGGTCTGGGTTTGGAAGTTGAAGCGCAGAATGTTCATTTTAGTGGCATTTATAGAAGAAATTCTCTTAAGATTCTTGCTATACTATATATTTGCCAATAAACTTAATACTGTGACATTTGCACAGTGTCACAGTGCTTATGCAGTGTCACTTAATATGCAGTGACATTTTTAGTACACTCACTTAATTTCTTAAATGTCAAATAATGGTAAATTTTTAACCTTACCTCTCACATTACTCCCAGAGATACACAAAATTCCTAAGGTAGCCTTACAAACTCCTCCTAAAGATACACAATATTCCTCAGGTAATCTCGCACAATGGCTCTTTCGGTTGACTCTGCAAAGTGGCTGACAGAGGTGGTGGTGAAGGGACTCCAGCAGGTGGCGGATGTGCTGTCCTTCATTGGGATCTTCTACGTAGGGAAGGTGACACTAACGGTGGTCTGGGACTTGACCTCGGCTCTGAGGGTGCATGTCTGGTCCAAGCTGGTGTCCAGGGACCTGGCTCGAGAATATGGTGGCAAATGGGCAGGTGGGTTGCACACTGACATCAGGGACCTTCCTGTATCTATAGACCCATAGAGACTGCAAGCAGTGAATGGGGTCATTTGTATTGATATAATTTGTGTATTTAGTTACATAAATATCTTCAGAATTGTTATAAACTCGGTTTTATTTTGAAACTATATTCTGTATATAGTGTATACAGTTCTGTACTGTACTTAAGGAAATATGTAAGTGTGGAAGGGTATCAGGATGAGGTGCTCCTTTGCAACACTTTTCTGCTCAGCTCCGTCTGCTCAAAATAGTGTGGATCTGAGTTTGATACCTGCACAACTCGAGGCATTTGGGTATGTTTCCCTACACCTGATGCTTCTGTTTACCTAGGACTAGCAGTAAATGACAATTTATATAATCATTGTAAGTCATAACTGAGTAAAAATTTATGCTTAACTGGCATATTGTTGTTTATTTACTTGCATCATGTAGCTGAGAGCAGAGAGATGGATGGCTTGGCAGATGCAGTGTTGTGAGTGAGTGAATTGTAGCGGTAGCTCTTGTTAACCTCAGTGGAGCCTGATTTCAGTCTGATCAAATAAAGGAATTTTATCCTTGGGACTTGAGTGTGCCTAGTATGGTTTTATATGGAGGTCAGTCTGCTGTACAGATGCAGAATGGATTAAAGCATATCACTGTCTGCTTCTAAGTGCAAGTAGTTGTCCCCAAGGTATAATAGTAGGCATGGCTGGTTCTCACTTTGACTATCATATATTGACTAAAGTTTATTTTCGTAAAGAGTAATACAAATGTTTTGAGTTATTGTATTTTTCAGCCACGTTATTGTGACTCATCATCTGCATATTGTATGAAGTTGCAGATGATGACTCACAATAATGTGGCTGAAGATATAATGACTAAACCACACATCAGAAAATGGAGAAAAGACAATTTTTCTCCAAAAATTTTAAGATTTTCGTTAATATTCTCCATATTGCCATTTCTCCATTTTCCAGTGTGTGGTTCGGTTATCATTTTGGATGAAGATAACGGCACAATAAAATGTGCATGAGTTTTGTTTATGGAATTTCGGCAGATGTCTTGAATAAACGTTCAGATACTTATTATTGGAGAAAATGGGATTTTTGATGAGGTGTGTTTGTTGTTTATGCAGTAGCTCCTTCCCTAATAGACTTGATTATTCCTTTACAGTTGTGACAGGTGCCTCTGATGGCATAGGCAAAGGATATGCTGCTGCCCTTGCCAAGAAGGGCATGAATGTTATGCTGATCTCCCGCACTCAAGAGAAGTTGGAGAAGGTTGCTCAAGATATACGTATGTTTCTAGTGCTTTCACTTAGTAAATCTATAGTTATTTCTGCAACATATATAATTTTGATGTTGTATGCTATTTAAAAATACCTGGTTAGATTGGTCATCTATATACAGTACAGTATATATATAACATACAGTATATAAATCAAACTGAAACTTAAATTTTAGTTACCTCCCCTTCATGAAAAAATATAAGAGTTAGAACCTAAGAATGCATAAATTCTACCTGGATTTATGAAAGGATTCAGATGGATTGTGGCACTTTGATTCTTTATATCACAGACAGTACTTGCAACTACTATACCAAATGCTTTGGTAACACTCGCAGCCGATCAGCCATTTTCGTAAGAGTTCTATAAAGCGTAACTAATAAAAAATAACTCATTATTTTAATAGTTTTCATTGTAAAATAAAGTTACATACAATAATTATTTTAATAGTTTTCCTTGTGAAATTCAAGATTCAAAAGTATGGAAAGTACTGTACACACAAAAATATATGTACCCTTTTCTGGGAGAGCCCGTTGTGGCTCCCTGAAGTTATCTTGTTGAGATGGCTCCCAACTACCTGTACTAGGTCAAATAAGCTGTGGAATTCTGTTTGGCCTACCAGGGACCACAGCCAGAACCTGGCCTCCCTTCAGAGGGGTGTAGAAGCAGGCGACACCTACACAACCCCACCGTGAAGGCATCCAGAAGGTTACTGAATCAATACAGACCACTGCTGGATTCAAAGAGACTGAAGCCTCAAAACCAGCAAACAAAATTCTCCCAACAATGTAAACAATCAAATTTCTCCCAACAATGTAAACAATCAAATTTCTCAAAACAAATGGGTGTTTTTTTAGCACTATTTCCCAACCCTCCTAACAAAATGGTACATAAAAGCAAACTAACAAAATCATTGAAGGAAGGGTGAGTAAAGGGCAAAGGGAATGAAAGCATGTTCCTGAAAATCATGTGTACTAACAAAGAGAGATGAAAAAATACTGGAGCTAAAATACATAATACAGCTAAAGATGGCAGAGATTGTCTCACTTAGAGATGATACTTGAAAATAATGTTTCAAATGAAGTCGTATTTCTCAAGGGACATTCAGTTTGGAGACGAGACAGAAAAATGATAGAGCAATCAGGCTTTGTATCGGTGACTGTACATGAATAAAGATTACGGCAGTCAGTGTTTTGAGAGTAATAAATATTTGTAATGTTTTTGAACAGGTGGCCAGTATGGAGTCGAGACAGAAATTATGCAAGTAGATTTTGCTCTTGGCCGACCAATATATGAAGACATTGGTAAACACCTTGCAGGCAAGGAGATTGGGATTTTAGGTAAGTACAATGCTTTTCTTATAAAAAAAAATGATTTGATAGGTGATCTCTACATAAATTATATTTTCTGACGATTTCAAGGATGTCAATGTCAGAACAGAGAGGATGGTTGTATGACCACAGCACGGATCACGAGGCTTACAATAGTCTCAAGCCAACAGCACAAAACTGTGAGACATTTTGCAAAAGAATTCCAAATTGATTTAAACATGAATTACTATACTGAATAACTTAAAAAAAATCAGACTTGTATATCATTGTGGACTCAATCCAAATTCATGAATAATTCAGGTTTTTGCCATTTTTGGCAATTTATCACTGAACATTTTTTTATAGATAATTATAAAGTACTTTTTTTAGTATTAGAACTAAAGTATGCTGACTTTAAAAAGTCGGTATACTTTCTAAAATCAGATATTATGTTCCCCACTCTGCTCTCCTCTCATTATACTAAGCACTAATCTATCCCTGTCATATATAACAGTATCTGTGCATGGGGTTTAACCACTGCAAATTACCTCAAGTCTATCATCACTCAGCAAAAATCTGCTATAAGAACTACAACAAACTCTGTTTTCAGACAACACACAGCTCCTCTATTTAAGTCTCGTAACATGCTAAACATACACTCACTCCACACATTCTTATGTGCTATCTACATGTACAAAACCTTGTTCCTAAATGCTAATCTTTATCTGAAACTTTTCCTTGATAGGTGTAATAGAACCCATGAGCACCACACCAGAAATAAATATCTCTTTGATATCCCCAGAGTCAGACTAGACCTGTGCAAACACTCGATGTATATAAAAGGGCCCACTCTTTGGAACTCACTCCCTGACGAATTAAAAAATTGTTCAGCTCATACCCTGTTCAAAAGTAAAATAAAAAAAGTACCTAATTTCATCCTCATAGTTTCCTTACCTTGTGCTTCAAACTCATACTGTATCTTGTACTGCCTACTTCTTCAATATTAGTACAATACTTAAGACATATATCCTTACTAGTGTAATCACCTGTGTTAACTTATATTGTAGTTATTTGTTGATATAAAAACCGTGCTTCAATGTGCTCTTTCATCTTACCTGATGTGTTAGATTAAGGACCTGCCCAAAATGCTATGCGTCTTAGTGGCTTTGCATTAATGTAAAAATACCAGTCCTATGTAATCTCACCAACCCATTGTACCTTCTTGCAAATAAATTATTATTATTATTATTATTATAAAACACATCTTTGTGCATATTTAAACACAAAATAATAAATTAATAATTTTCATGTAATATAAATACTGTGATAAAAAGTCAGTTTCTAGAGGGGTTTGATAAACACCTTCAAAGGATACCTGCTTTGCTGGCTTCCTACTTACCTGTCTGCTTTGCCTGCCTACTTTGCTTTGCTTTTCCTGCCTATTTTGCTTTGCCTGGCCTTGCTTGGCCTTGTCTGGCCTGGCCTTGCCTTGCTTGGCCTTGCCTGGCCTTGCTTGCCAATCAGTTATTGTTGATTTGGCAGTCATCTGCCAGTTAAACAGAACTTTAATGGAATTCTCTCATTTTCAGTCAACAATGTTGGAGTGATTGGCAGTGGACCGTGTTTCTTCGAGGATATGGTTGATGATGACCTCTGGGCACTTATTAATGTAAACACAGCATCTGTGCCAGCTATGACAAAATTAGTGCTACCTGGCATGTTAGCGCGCAAGAAAGGTGCCATCATCAATATCAGCTCAATTGGAGGACAGATGTCAGTGCCACTACTTCAGGTTTATTGCGCAACAAAGGTAAAGAATAACTTTGGGTATGAGCTGTGTAGTTACTGGTGTAGGTTGTGTGGTATATGGGTGTTTGTCTGGTAGTGGAAGTATGTGAAAATGGATGAGTATGTTTTTGGGTATTAGTACTCACCATTTTGTTCCTGCAGGAATCAGCTCGTTTGACCGCACATTTCACCTCTCTTATCCACTTTTGAAATTGTGAATGGAATTAGCCATTACATTACAGTATGCATTTTAGGTAATTAATTTGTCCTGCTGCTCTTACACTAAAAGAATACTCACTCACATATCTATGGCTAGTCTATTCTCCAAGCTTCCACACATACTCTTTTGTTGTATAGGCGTTTATTGTGAATTTTTTTTTTCTATGAGACCCCCCACAATCGCTCCTCAAAGCTACAGCCTGGAAGCAACCAACCAAGCCTTAGGACACACATGAGACTTCTAAAACCAGCACCTAGCAAGAACCAGCACCAGAATCTGGTCCAGATAAGAGGCGTCGATTATAGACATTTACATACCACTTGTGTTAACTTCTTAACACAAGTTAAGACAATAATTAAAGCTTGAGCAATGCAGAAGATGTTGAGTGACCATAATGCATCAGCTCCAATGTCCGGATCTACAGGATGGTTCAAGAATTAAACCAACAATGAATCACTTATTTTCATGAAAGGGAATAAGATATGAACAAAAATGCACTTGCACTACATGAGGCCTAGATACCCAAGTGTATGGGAAATAAACTTAGATGCTCCAAAAGAAGAGAGGGACAGAAAAAATAACACAGATACAGTAGTCAGGTGATTTACAAAATCATATGATGCACAGATGACTTGATTGCCCCCAAAAAAAAAATAAGTGATCCATATTTGCACTATACCTTTGCAAAATGAAAAAGTTCAAAAGATGAAAACAAGTTGCTTAACTGAATCCAGTGTCTCAATCTTCCAAACTGGCATGAGACCAAGTAGGATGGATGTCAGGTTGGAGGCAGGGGACATGATTACAGTGAGGGTGCTGCCATCTTATGGTGGTCAAGAACTCAGCTTCAAAATACACTGATAGATATACAGACACATGCTCTTTCGTTTTGCACCCAGCAACATTACATTTTGTTTAATATCAAATAATTTTGTTCTCTTTGCAGTCATTCGTCAACCGTTTTTCTGAAGTATTGGACTTTGAGTACCGGTCATCTGGTATAACTGTGCAGAATATCATACCTTCTGCAGTTTCAACCAACATGACTAGGTTTGATCCACTAATTCATACAGAAGGTAAGATTGGCAAACTGGAATTAAAGATTTGTATTTAATTTTAGATTTGGAAAAAGTTGCATTATACTCACTGCTCAGTATAGTATATGGCCGTACAAGTAAAGCTCAAAAATCCACATTACAGTATATCGTATACAGACTCAATACGTATTTGCTGGAAACCTGGTTTTTATTAAATTTGCACTTTCTGGTAATGATCCCTTGTTGGTTTCCTGGAAACCCCTACATACCATGTCACAGGTCTATACTTAGAGCATACCTGGAGAGGGTTTTGGGAGTTTTTCTTCTCCTCGAGCCCGGCCTGGGGCCAGGGCAAGCTGGCCCCAGTGATGAACTATCTAGGGCATGGTCCCAGATAGTTCTTCACGTCTCCATGCCACCTATATTGGTTTAGGGAATGCCTAATTTGTTAATCTAATTTCCTTGGTTCTTCATTCCAAAGCTCATTGGGTTGGCTCAGCCTGTGTTTTGCGTTGGCTTAGCCGTAGTTTTAATTTAGCACAGCCAATGCTTTGTGTAGGCTCAGCCAATGTTTTGTGTTGGCTCGTCCAGTATTTTGAATATCCTTGTGGTTTGGATTAACTTTTGTTCCCTATACTACCATTTCAGTAAGTGTTGGGGCTATAGCTGCTGTAACAGCCTGCTGAAAGCAGACCTGAGTTTTCCTTCTTCCCCTCCACCTTCCCCCTCCACCCATTTGTCTAAGTCAAGAGGCCACTGGTGGTTGGGTGGCACCCCACTCGCTTGGCCCTCTCCTTGCCCACTTTCCCCCCACTCCATCCCCACTGAATTCCCTCTCTTTCCCCACTCTTTTCCCTGCTCCCTGGTTCCTCACCATAGTCAGCGACAGTGGTGTGACATTCATCCGTTTTGGTAAACAACCCTTTCCTCGGATTACAGGGAGGCTGGGTTTGGGAGAGGTTTGGTGTGTGTCACACACGACAAACAGGCCTTGTTCCTTCGGGCAGCCGAGTAGAGCTGACACAACTCTATTGGCATTTCATGTGCCTTTCAAGCAGACCTGGAAGGTGATTGGCTATAGATAGGTGCCAAGCCCTTATTGGCCCTTGAGGGCCAGACCTCAGACCTAGTTTTAAAATGGTTGGCTGTTGCCAATAAAATAATGGAAGGAGCCCAGGAGCTGTATTAGTTGTGGGAGGCCTATCCTCCACTGGTAAGCTTGCGAGCAAATCTTAGTTTAGTGTGTACTGGGTAGTGTGACTTGAGGGAGTGAACTGGGCTGGTCCATCAAGGCCCCAGTAAGAGGAGCGTTTCGACATCAAAAGGCTGGGTAATTGCAGGATAAGGTAATGTGCTCTTGAGTACTCATGTTCCATCAGTGTTATGTACCATTTGCCTCATAGGACTTAATTACAGCTAGGATATAAATAAACGTATCTTTTGTTAAAACATTATTGATTTATTATCGAGTCATTATTGTTCTTATTTTTATTCACATGCTATTTTGGAAGTTCCCTGTTTCTCCTCCATTTATGGTAATTAAAGTTGCCCTTGAATCTAAAATAATAAAGTAAAGATCTTCTGTAAATAATTCTCATGCATTAATTGCCAAGATTCCTACGCCCTTCGAGTTTATAATTATTGATTTCTGTCCTTCCTGGGAGATCAGTAATGCAGGCACATTCAGGTTTCAGGATGGTGGTGGCAGCTGTAAGTTCTTATTAATTATTATTCAACATTAAATTTAACCCTTTAATTGTAGCTTCCCCAATTTAATATTTCAGTTTCATATTTAGCTGGGAATTCAGTGAGGGTCACAGTGAGCTTGCAAGCAGTGTTAAGCTGGGGTTTAAGTTCAATTTATTCCTTAATTATTTTTTCCGGCAGGTTTGCTCACTCCAAATCCCAATACTTTTGCTGCTCATGCTCTCTCTACGCTGGGTTATGCTCGGTACACCACTGGATACTGGACTCATGGGATTCAGGTAAAGTTATATCCTTAAATTTCCTTGTGTTAAAGGATTGATGAGGCTCAAGTGTTCTATCCTATTGTAAATAATAGTAAGATCAGCTTAGGTTTAGTTTAAAGCAGGGTTACTAAAAACCTGGATATTTTCTTAAAATCCAACCTATCCTGGGCAAAGAGAGTTTGTATCTCTTTAATCATGAGATAAAAAAAAATACAAGATTAAATTTAAATAGGAATGACTAAGTTGGCCCATACTGGGGCAAAAAAAAAAAAAATTGTTTTTAGGCAGCCCCTTGTGACTCGCTGAAGCTATCTTGTTGATATGGCTCCCAGCTGTTAGATCACACCAGCCATGAAGTTCTGCTTGGCCTGTCAGGGAGCAGGAATGCCATTCTCTTGCAGGCGATGAGTCACAATAACGTGGCTAAGTATGTTGACCAGACCACACACTAGAAGGTGATGGGACGACGACGTTTTGGTCCGTCCAGGACCATTCTCAAATCGATTACGTCCTGGACTACATTCTCAAGACAATCGACTGAGAATGGTTCAGGACGGACCGAAACGTTGTTGTCCCTTCACCTTCTAGTGTGTGGTCTGGTCAACATGCCATTCTCTTGTACACTTTAACATCATCTAGTTTGTCTAACTGTGCTTTCCAGGTTTTCTACAGCTAAGCATTGATCTTGGTTAGATTGTTTCAGTAAGCAGTGTGTTCCATAGTTGTACTCTCTGTGATGAGTATTTTCACTTACATATTAATGACCTTAAAGAGAAGAAGAGGCAAGTGTTGACCAGGAAAAGCATAGTTGGCAATAAAGTGTACTGCTGCATTTTCCTCAATGTATTCTTTGTGATTAGTTCTAAATGACACTCCTCATGTTTCAGTCTTGGCTCTACGAGAAAGCACCATCGTCACTGCTGGCATATGCGTACATGTGGAGGTTTATGGCTGTCTCAACCTTAAAGAAATCAAATTGAAATTCTAAAAAACATCGTTTTCCAAATTTGCATGGCAGTAAATTGTCTAGTCACACAAAAGCCACATATTTATACAAAGCTGTTAAAAAGGACTAAAGTTTATTATTAATCTTCTATTTATTGAAGGATTCTGGAGCAGTTGTTTTTATTGTATTACAGTCATCTATTATCTTTGTTGGTTACTATTTGGAAAAAGTATTATGTAATACAATTACTTAACCATTGTATATTTACTGTACAACAGCATAAATATCTTAAAATATAACATTTTCATATTATATAACCAAAAGTAATATTAAAAGGGAAAATCTTAATTTATCCTGTATATCTTTTGTATGTCCTGCTTAAGACTGATAATAAACAGAAATATTTTCTCATTTCATTTTATATGTAAATCTTCTTATTTAATGTGACACACTAGACAAAGTTTTACAACACCTGATTATTTGAAATGAAATGTACAGTAATGTGAATTCTATACATGCTTGTCAATACTGTTTTGCAAGGTCAGCAATCTCTGGCTAACACTGGTTGTCTGCCACATCTGATAAAATTAAGCTACTCTCTAAGGTAATGAGGTTAAATCAGATACACTTGGGCTGTAGAGTGGAATCCAAAAGAGGCAATTAAGAAGATGGGCACATCATTTGACCAAGAAGACTCCAGAGGCACACGCACTAATACAGCAACCAGCATTGAAGAGTTTGTCAAGTCCCCACACATTAACATCTCAAGTAAGGGAGATTCATAAGAAACTTCTCAAAAGATTTGTATGAACTGCTGGAAGCCCTGAGCTTGGATCTCAAAAAAAAAAAAGAGAGCAGAGAAGAATGGACTTAAAAGTTGCATATATCTACAGTGCCCATCCTCGGGAACAATAAAGGGACCTTTGGCAAGTTGCCAGTTTTTGTCACTAGAATGATGTCGCCAATTTCGGTCACTAGAATGATGGTAACCTTCAGGTAAGTAGATAATAAAGCTTTACCTAACTGTGTAACAGCTGTGTGATGTTGACCATGCTACAGTGAAGGAAGAACTGCATTGAGGGACAGAATAGAAATAGCTGCAAGGAGACGACGCTGTGATAATAAAGGCTGGACACTATAAACTGTGCATTAATGAAGTTGGGCACTAAAGGCTGGGCCTTTATTAAAGCATCAAGAGTCCATTTTGGGGTCAATCCTTTTTGTCGTATTGTTCATGAATGACATGGATGAGAATATTGCAAACTACATCATCAAATTTGAAGATGACAAAGATTTACGGTAAAGTGGGAAATGATGATGTTGAAGCCTTACAAAGAGATCTACATGAACCTTACAAAGAGAACTACATGAACAAATGCTCAGAAGACTGGCAAATGCATTTTAATACTGACAAATGCAAGGCCCTGCATGTGGGGCAAAACAACCCATGCCACAACTACCAAATTATTAACATTACATTACAGCAGATAATTGGAGTCAAAATCCACCACTCAGTGAAAGTTGCACAGAAGGTAGGGGCAGCAGTCAAAAAAAAGCTAACCAAACATTTAGAATAATCAAGCATACCTTTGACTTTAAGGAAAAGAAAGTAGTGATTCAATTGTATAAATCTCTAGTGCCCGACATTTACCCGAGTTTACCTGAGAGCCACTAACACTAGTGGCCTCAATAAGAACAGAAAGCCGGCGGCTTCTCGATGGTCCCTCCGTTTGCCTTGATGATCTATTCCAGCTGTACTCACCTAGTTGTACTCACCTAGTTGTGTTTGCGGGGGTTGAGCTCTGGCTCTTTGGTCCCGCCTCTCAACCGTCAATCAACAGGTGTACAGATTCCTGAGCATATCGGGCTCTGTCATATCTACACCTGAAACTGTGTATGGAGTCAGCCTCCACCACATCACTTCCTAATGCATTCTATTTGTCAACCACTCTGACACTAAAAAAGTTCTTTCTAATATCTCTGTGGCTCATTTGGGCACTCAGTTTCCACCTGTGTCCCCTTGTGCGTGTTCCCCTTGTGTTAAATAGACTGTCTTTATCTACCCTATCAATCCCCTTCAGAATCTTGAATGTGGTGATCATGTCCCCCCTAACTCTTCTGTCTTCCAGCGAAGTGAGGTTTAATTCCCGTAGTCTCTCCTCGTAGCTCATACCTCTCAGCTCAGGTACTAGTCTGGTGGCAAACCTTTGAACCTTTTCCAGTTTAGTCTTATCCTTGACTAGATATGGACTCCATGCTGGGGCTGCATACTCCAGGATTGGCCTGACATATGTGGTATACAAAGTTCTGAATGATTCTTTACACAAGTTTCTGAATGTCGTTCGTATGTTGGCCAGCCTGGCATATGCCGCTGATGTTATCCGCTTGATATGTGCTGCAGGAGACAGGTCTGGCGTGATATCAACCCCCAAGTCTTTTTCCTTCTCTGACTCCTGAAGAATTTCCTCTCCCAGATGATACCTTGTATCTGGCCTCCTGCTCCCTACACCTATCTTCATTACATTACATTTGGTTGGGTTAAACTCTAACAACCATTTGTTCGACCATTCCTTCAGCTTGTCTAGGTCTTCTTGAAGCCTCAAACAGTCCTCTTCTGTTTTAATCCTTCTCATAATTTTAGCATCGTCCGCAAACATTGAGAGAAATGAATCGATACCCTCCGGGAGATCATTTACATATATCAGAAACAAGATAGGACCGAGTACAGAGCCCTGTGGGACTCCACTGGTGACTTCACGCCAATCGGAGGTCTCACCCCTCACCGTAACTCTCTGCTTCCTATTGCTTAGATACTCCCTTATCCACTGGAGCACCTGATTTACTGTTTAATAGAGATTCACAAATAAGCTTATGATTGTATACGTTATCAAAAAGGCAGTGACAAAGTCAATTTTGCATTTTAATCACAGAGATTAGATCTTAGTGAGATAGGAAAGATATTCATATTTTAAAGAAGGATTTTTGAACCATCGCTCTCCCTATCGATAGAAACTAACTTTTTTTTGTTATTATTAACAAGCTTAGGTATACACAGTAATGTGCTGCTACCCTATTCTATATGAAAGATTACACAGTGTATATCAAAAACTAGCTATTAAAGTTCATAAGTTTACAGTCTCCGTGGTGTAGTGGTAAGACACTCGCCTGGCGTTCCGCGAGCGCTATGTCATGGGTTCGTATCCTGGCCGGGGAGGATTTACTGGGCGCAATTCCTTAACTGTAGCCTCTGTTTAACACAACAGTAAAATGTGTACTTGGTTGAAAAAACGATTCTTCGCGGCAGGGGGTCGTATTCCAGGGACCTGCCCGAAACGCTATGCGTACTAGTGGCTGTACAAGAATGTAACAACTCTTGTATAATTATATTATAGATTCAGCTACTCGGAACAAGTTCCAAGTAGCACGGGCTATGGTGAGCCCGTAACTTACCTGGCACAGAAGCGGGGCAAGAAGCACGGGCTATGGTTAGCCTCGTGGGTGCCAAGGGCATGAGTAGCCTATAGTAAGAGGCTGATTGATGAAGATTAAGCCGCCCAAAAGGTGGCACGGGCATGAATAGCCCGTAAGTGGTGGCCCTTTTGAGCCATTGCCAGTATCAAGAGTTGATACTGGAGATCTGTGGAGGCGCGACTGCACCTTGCGTGACGGGAGATGTCTCCCGTGTAAGAGGCTTGACTCAGGCTGACTTTCAAGTACCGCCCAACCGCTGCGAGCGCACTTAACATTTTAACGCAACCGGACCGTAAATATACGGCCCACTCGGCTAACGGGTTCCGCAACCGCACCGTAAATAGCCGGCCGATCTAAAAAAAAAAAAAAATCCAATTCTTATTCGATCGACTTGGGGTTAGTATGAAAATGTTTGCCATTAAATGTCCGTTTTCTCTAATAGGCACATGGCCTATTTGAGAAAACGGCATTGTATTGTAACTTAGAGGAGAGACTATTGAGTTGTTGACACAACGAGGGTAATCGCCCACTTCACACACTCTTGGTGTGGGTCGCGATCATGATTCTACATTTATATGCATATGTTTGTGTAGGGAATTTTATTGCGAGTTCAGTGATATAAAATATAACGCTGTAGGACTAATGTGGAGCTGACAACAAACAAAAGAGTATGAACATTTTGTTGCTGTTTGGGCGTCACGGCGAGTGATCTACGTTTTATTTATAATAATAATAATAATAATTTTTATTTAGGCAAAGGTACATACATAAAGAGATTTTACAAAGTTTGTTGGCTTTATAGATAGGAGCTAGTACATACAATGCCTAAAGCCACTATTACGCAAAGCGTTTCGGGCAGAAACGCTTTCCCACCACAAAATTTATTTTGTGGTGGGATAGCTAATGCTTTGGTGACATGTTATACATATGATCTTGTAGAGAATGTTATTGCCAACACATTGATACCAAAATTAAATACGTAACTTGAGAATTGGTGTCAAGAGAGTGAAAAGATTACACACTTTTTGGTGTTTATGCTCAAGAGCCGCGCCCACAATGTGCTAGTTTTTTTTTTCACGGGGCCCGCGCGCTTTAAAGTGTTATCTTATATAGTTATTCGTCTTCCTCCATACAGAAAAACCCGCGCTTTCTGAAACTACGAATCCTAATTATGGTAATTACAATGTCACACAATGTCGATGTTTTATGAGGCCCGCGCACATAATTCTCAGTTCTAAACATATCATAGCTCTTTATACTCGTGCTTTCTGGGCCTTGAGTATCAGTGACTGCTCTTTCTGCCATTCCTAATTTCCTGAAATCTTGCGACTTTTAAAGCGGAGATTGGAATGCCCATATTCAACTTAATTTCAGGCTTATCATATGCAGTTTTAGCTGCCTGTTTGTGTCATCATGCTGCTGACAGCACCTATGTGAGATGGTATCCATACAAATCCAGACAAGCCACCGGCTTATTGTCCTCGTTGAGGTCACTAGTGTTTGTGGCCCTCAGGTAAGACACCCTCTTGCACTGTGCATTAATAATGTTTATAATGGATGTTACAACATTCCTAGTATCTATTCTGCATGATGGGTTTTTAACTGCTTGACGAACTGACTTTGAATCACAGAAAATTACTCCTCCACTGTTCTTCAGTGTGTTAGTGGCAAGTTGTAATGCAGCTAATTCTGCATGTAATTACCTAAGTGTAGTTACAGGATGAGAGCTACGCTCGTGGTGTCCCGTCTTCCCAGCACTCTTTGTTATATAACGCTTTGAAATTACTGACGGTCGATCTTGGCCTCCACCACCTTCTCACCAAACTTGTTCCAACCGTCTACCACTCTGTTTGAGATAAGCCAGTTATTCAGTCTCTCACTTGTGGTCTGATTGATTGATTGATGAAGATTAAGCCACCCAAAAGGTGGCACGGGCATTAATAGCCCGTAAGTGGTGGCCCTTTTGAGCCATCACTAGTATCAATAGATGATACTAGAGATCTGTGGAGGTGCGACTGCACCCTTCATGACAGGAGATGTCTCCCATGAATGTGTTCAAGATGAAGATTAAGCCATTCAAAAGATGGCACGGGCATGAATAGCCCGTAAGTGGTGGCCCTTTTGACCCATTACCAGTATCAAGAGCTGATACTGGAGATCTGTGGAGGTGCGACTGCACCCTGCGTGACGGGAACTTGTGGTCTGTGTGCATGTCTTTGTATATTCTGCAGGCTGCTGCAGTGAGACCTGTTGACATTTGAAATAACCCATCATCAGTGCTCGTGAAGCCGTAAGCTATTAATAAAAAATATCAATAATTTCAAGTGTTGTTGCTATAATGCGTGCTGGGGTTTCTCTTCTCTTTTTTGCCGATGCGTGTGTAAAAAAAATCACTTGTATATCAGGGTACAGATATAATGGACTATCACTGGCTAGTACATTGCATACAATAGAAATATTCAGTTTAATGATATAAATAAATGAATGAATGAATTAATTGAATAAATAGCAGAAAGTGATATAGTGTGAGGCGGCCCCCAGGCGGGGCAGGTGGCTGGACGTCCTCATGGACCTCAAGGTTGAACCAGAGACTCTTGAGAGCCGTCCATGGTGTGAATAGCTGGCTACCGTGTCCATAAATGTGACCTGACTTGTAAGGTAGGAGACATTTTTAACAACCCCTCCGTGTTGCGTTGATTTTTACAAGATTGTTCGCTGTGAGATGGTGAATGTTTCCATGCCATAGGATTCTCTCCACGAGCTTGCGTTATATGTCAATGTCATGCCCGAAACGCAGTGCGTATTAAAGTGGCTTTTGGCGTAGTATATACTTGCTCTATCTAGAAATCCAACATGTTGTTTTTAACTCATTTTTATGATATTTTCAATATATAAGCATTATTATTTTATTATTATTATGAAATCAAGCGAATAGGAATGTACTGGAAATGTATCAAATTCAAATTCAAATGTTTATTCAGGTGAAAGCACATACATAGAAGATCAGTTACAAACATAATGTTGGATTTATAGATACAGCTAGTACATACAATACCTAATACCTATGTACCTATGTATGGGATTCGAATGAACCCGGAATTCCGGGTTCGAATCCCGGGCGGGAGGGAGTGAGGGAATTATCAGGGAAAAGCGCCAAGCTATTACGACTATATAGCACTGGGAAGGGGTCAGGATAATGATTTGGGATGGGACGGGGGGGAAGGAATGGTGCCCAACCACTTGGACCGTCGGGGATTGAACGCCGACCTGCATGAAGCGAGACTGTCCAGCCCGAGTGGTTGGGTATCCCAGGCGAGAAATGGTTGGGCGCCTTTCCTATCACCTAATGCATCTGTTCACCTAGGAGTCGGTAGGTACTCAGGAGTCAGCTTGTTGCGGGGTTGCCTCCTGGTCGGGGTCAGTAATTTGACCTTGGGGAGGGGGTAGGGGGGGTACCTCGATATAAGCCTAACGTGTACTCAGTTGTGCTTACTAGGGTTGAGCTTCGGCTCTTGGGTCCCGCCTGTCAATCTGTCAATCAACCGGTGTTGATTCCTGCGTATGAATACATTCTGGCTGCCTGTCCCCCGACATAATGCATTATTATTATGATTATTATTATTTTTATTATTATATAATAAAGCCAATTTGTGGAATTACAAAGGTGATTGGAGGACTTGATGAAGCTGTGGGCCTCCGTGCTGGTGCTGCCTTGGACGTGTTTACCATGGCGCAGTGTTGCCAGGTCAAGCTTGCTGGGCGTACTCACCTAGCTGTACTCACCTGGTTGTGCTGGCGGGGGTTGAGCTCTGGCTCTTTGGTCCCGCCTCTCAACCGTCAGTCAACTGATGTACAGATTCCTGAGCCTACTGGGCTCTATTATATCTACATTTCGACTTACCCGAAACGCTATGCGTGCTAGTGGCTTTACAAGAATGTAAAATCAACTTAATTTCTATGTTCTCTGTTAACCCCCAATGTATCTTCTATATAAATAAATAAATAAATAAATAAATATTTAAATATATAAATATATAAATAAATTTCAAACTGTGTATGGAGTCAGTCTCCACAACATCACTGCCTAATGCCTAACTACTCTGACACTGAAAAATTTGTTTCTAATGTCTCTGTGGCTCATTTGGGTACTCAGCTTTCACCTGTGTCCCCTTGTGCGTGTGCCACCTGTGTTAAATAATCCATCCTTGTCTACCCTGTCAATTCCCCTGAGAATTTTGTATGTGGTGATCATGTCTCCCCGAGCTCTTCTGTCTTCTAGCGACGTGAGGTGTAGTTCACGTAGTCTGTCCTCATAACTCATGCCTCTTAGTTCTGGGACTAGCCTAGTGGCATACCTCTTAACTTTTTCCAGCTTCGCCTTGTGCTTGGCAAGGTACGGGCTCCAGGCTGGGGCTGCATACTCCTGGATTGGCTTTACATATGTGGTATACAACGTTCTGAAGGATTCCTTACACAGGTTTCTGAAGGCTGTTCTGATGTTAGCCAGCCTCGCGCATGCCGCAGATGTTATTCTTTTGATGTGGGCTTCAGGAGACAGGTTTGGTGTGATATCAACTCCCAGATCTTTCTCTCTATCCGTTTCGTGGAGGACTTCATTTCCCATTCGGTATCCAGTGACTGGCCTCCTAGTTCCTCCTCCTAGTTTCATTACCTTACATTTACTTTGGTTGAACTTTAGTAGCCATTTGTTGGACCATTCCTTCAGTTTGTCTAGGTCATCTTGTAGCCTCATACTATCTTCCTCTTTCTTGATCCTCCTCATAATTTTTGCATCATCAGCAAACATTGAGAGGAACAAGTCAATTCCTTCTGGGAGATCATTTACATATATCAGAAACAGTATAGGTCCAAGGACTGAACCCTGCAGGACTCCACTGGTGACTCCCCGCCACTCCGAGACCTCACCCCTCACAGTGACACGCTGTGTCCTGTTGCTTAGGTACTCCCTTATCCAATGGAGTACCTTCCCTTTCACTCCTGCCTGCATCTCCAGTTTGTGCGCTAATCTCTTATGTGGTACTGTGTCAAAGGCTTTCTGGCAGTCCAGAAATTTGCAATCTGCCAAGCCCTCTCTCTCTCTCTCTCTCATCTAATTTTTGTTGCCTGGTCATAAAACTCAATTAAACCTGTTAGGCATAATTTGTCGTCCCTGAACCCATGCTGATGTTGTGTTACAAAGTTCTTTCGCTCCAGATGTTCTACTAGCTTTTTTCGCACAATTTTCTCCATCATTTTGCATGGAATGCAAGTTAGGGACACTGGCCTGTATTTCAGTGCCTTCTGTCTATCACCCCTTCTTGTATATTGGGACTACATTGGCTGTCTTCCAAATTTTTGGCAGTTCACCTGTTGCCAGTGATTTGTTGTACACCATGGAGAGTGGCAGGCACAGAGCTTCTGCTCCTTCCTCTAGCATCCATGGTGAGATTCCATTTGGGCCTATAGTGCATGCACCCATTGGGAGGATAAACCCCTCATGCAAACTGCACGTACCGGTACCATCATGGAAGACGAAGATGCTTGCTGGGCTGACTTAGTGTCAATGAACATCGTTGTTCGCTGTTATCTTAGTCGGCCAAGGGTGCTTGATATTCCTCAGATATTCCCCTACACTCCTAGAGTTGCTTAATATTCCTCAGGTACCCCTCTACACTCAAAATTCAAATTCAAAATTCAAATACATTCCTTTGAATAAAAATGTCAATGTTTATGGAACATAAAAGTAATGTACAATTGTGGAAACAGGAGTTAAACTAATGAAGTGACTATTACGCAAAGAGTTTCGGGCAAAACTTAAATTAACTTAGAACAAAATTAATGAAAAAGGTGTGAAGAGGTAAACACTTAATACTAATAGTAGGAGGTAAGAATAGGATGAATGTAAGAATAAGGTAAGAATAGCATGAATGTAAGAATAAGGTAAGAATAGGATGAATGTAAGAATAAGGTAAGAATAGGATGAATGTAAGAATAAGGTAAGAATAGGATGAATGTAAGAATAAGGTAAGAATAGGATGAATGTAAGAATAAGGTAAGAATAGGATTAATGTAAGAATACGGTAAGAATTAGATGAATGTAAGAATAAGGTAAGATAGGATGAATATAAGACTAAGAATAAGAGGAAAGATAAGAATAAAAAAGGGGGGGGGGTAGGAATAAGAATGCTGGACAAGACTAGGGTCATGTGGCCATAGAGCAAAAATATTGTCATCGTCAATGATGACATATTCTGATGTGTGGTTTGGTCATCACAAGTATTTGGCAAAACTTAAAAAAAAATGTAAAGTATTTGGATTTTACAGCAGTCGCCATCAGATTTTTGTTTTTTGAGGAATCTGAATTTTGGAGTGTAAACTTGGTGGGCAGATTTTATCCATTATACACAGGACTCAATTATATGGAGGTCTGGATTTGGAAGTTGACGTACAGAATGTTCATTTTAGTGGAATTTATAGAAGAAATTCTCTTCTTTTGATTCATGCGATACAGTACTATGAGTTTGCCATTAAACTTAATACCATATGAAGTAAAATGTGTAGTACATTGTGCAGATGATAAGTCACAATAATGTGGCTGAAGAATTTTGACCACACACTAGAAGATGAAAAGACGACGACATTTCGGTCCGTCCTGGACCACAATCAACGTGATAATGGTCCAGGATGGACCGAAACACCGTCATCTTTTCATCTTCTAGTGTGAAGTTTGGTCACTCTTTAGTACATTGTTAATGTCACAAAATTTCTGAAATTTTAAACCTTATTTTAATTTTAAACCAGCAAATTTTTAATCTTACTCTCACATTCCTCCCAGCAGCACTCAACATTCCTCAGGTAGCCTTACATACTCCTCCTAAAGATGCACAATATTCTTCAGGTAATCTCGCACAATGGCTCTCTCGTTTGACTCCGCAAAGTGGCTGACAGAGGAGGTGGTGGATGTGCTGTTCTTCATCGGGATCTTGTACATAGGGAAGGTGATACTGACCGTGCTCTGGGACTTGGCCTGGGGTCTGAGGGTGCATGTCTGGTCCAAGCTGGTGTCCAGGGACCTGGCTAGAGAATATGGTGGCAAATGGGCAGGTGGGTTGCACACTGACATCAGGGACCTTCCTGTATCTATAGACCCATGGAGACTGCAAGCAGTGAATGAGGTCATTTGTATTGATGTAACTTGTTTATTTAGTTATATAAATATCTTCAGAATTGTTATAAACTCACCTTTATTTTTAAACCAAATTCTGTATATACAGTATAGTACTGTAACGACTTATATTGAATTTTGTAACTAGCTCATCAAGATTGTAACTTGCTTAGCTAAATGAATTGTGGGGTTCAGTCCCTGAGCCCATTATGTGCCTCTGTAACCCTTTCCACTACCGCCCACAAGATGGGTTTGGGGTGCATAATAAATGAACTAAACTAACTAACTAACAGTACTGTACTTATGGAAATATTGTAAGTCTGGAAGGGTATCAGGATAAGATACTCCTCTGCAACACTTCTGCTCAGCTCAGTCTGCTCAAAATAGTGTGGTTCCGAGTTTGATACCTGTACAACTCGAGGCATTTGGGTACGTTTCCCTTCACCTGATGCTTCTGTTTACCTAGGGCTAGCAGTAAATGACTATTCATATAATCATTGCAAGTCATAACTAGAGTAAAAATTTATGCTTAACTGGCATATTGTTGTTATATTTACTTGGATCATGTAGCTGAGAGCAGAGAGATGGATGGCTTGGCAGATGCAGTTTTGTGAGTGAGTGTATTGTAGCGGTAGCTCTTGATTAACCTCAGTGGAGCCTGATTTTAGTCTGATCAAATAAAGGAATTTTATCCTTGGGACTTGAGTGTGCCTAGTATGGTTTTATTTGGAGTTCAATCTGCTGTATAGATGCAGAAAGGATTAAAGCATATCACTGTCTGCTTCTGAGTGTAAGTAGCTGTCCTCAAAGTATAATAGTAGGCATGGCTGGTTCTCACTTTGACTGTCATATATTGACTAATGTTGTACTACTCCGCACCAAAATAAACTGTTTTGAGTTATAAGGTGAAGTTAACTGCACCATACAATGTTAACGAGTTTTGTTTATGGAATTTAGGCTGATGTCTTGAATAAACGTTCAGATACTTATTATTGGAGAAAATATGATGTTTGATGAGATGTGGTTGTTGTGTATGCAGTAACTCCTTCCCTAATAGACTTGATTATTCCTTTACAGTTGTGACTGGTGCCACTGATGGCATAGGCAAAGGATATGCCGCTGCCCTTGCCAAGAAGGGCATGAATGTTGTGCTGATCTCCCGCACTCAAGAGAAGTTGGAGAAGGTTGCTCAAGAGATACGTACGTTTCAAGTACTTTCACTTAGTAAATCTATAGTTAACTCTTTAACATACAGTATATAATTTTGCTGTTGTATGCTATTTAAAAATACTTGGTTAAGTTGGTCATCTGTATATACAATATATATATAAATCAATATACAGTGTATAAATTAACCCTTGAAATGTGACTTACCATAAAGATTGGCACTCTGCCTAAGAGAAAAAAATAATTAATTATTTAAATAATTTTCATTGTAAAATAAAGTTGTATCCAGTAATTATTTAAATAGTTTTCCTTGTGAAATTGTAGATTCAAAAGTATGGAAAGTACACACAAAAATATCATATCTACCCTTTTCTGGGAAAGCCCTTTGTGACTCCCTGAAGCTTTTTGTTGAGATGGCTCCTAACTATTAGGACAACTCAGTAGAGTTCTGTTTGGCCTACCGGGGACTAGAGTCAGACCTTGGCCCCCTTTCGCAGAGTAGGTGACACAACTAGGCGAGTACCTACACCACCCCACCGTAAAGACACCCAGAAGGACACTGAATCAATACAGACCACTGCTGGATTCAAAGAGACCAAAGCCTCAAAACCCAACAAACAAAACTCTACCAACAATGTAAACAGTCAAATTTCTTGAAACAAGTTTGAGGTTTTTAGCACTACTCCCTGACCCTCTAACAAAATGGTACATAAAAGCAAACCAACAAAATCATTGAAGGAAGGGGAACTAAAGGACAAAGGGAGTGGGAGCATGTTCCTGAATATCATGTATACTAACATAGTAAGATAAAAAAAATACCAGTTAAAATATATAATACAGTTTAAGATGCCAGAGATTGTCGCACTTACAGAGATGATACTTGAAGATAATGTTTCAAATGAGGTCATATCCCTCACCGGCTACTCAATTTGGAGACGAGACATAAATATTATAAAGCAATCAGGCTTTGCATCGGTGACTGTACATAAATAATGATTACTGCATTCAGTGTTTTGACTGTAATAAATATTTCTATGTTTTTGAACAGGTGGGCAGTATGGAGTCGAGACAGAAATATTACAAGTAGATTTTGCTCTTGGCCGACCAATATATGAAATTATTGGCAAATGTCTTGCAGGCAAGAAGATTGGGATTTTAGGTAAGTAAGTATAATGCTTTTCTAATAAAAAAAAACTTTGCATGATAGGTAATGTTTACATTAATTATATTTTCTGATGACTTCAAGGATACGGATGCCAGAACAGAGAGGATGTTTGTATGACCACAGCATGGATCACGATTCTCACAAGAGTTTCAAGCCAACAGTACAAAATTCCGAGACATTTTGCAAGAGACTTGCAAATTAAATTAAACATGAATTACTATACTGAATAACCTAAAAAAATCTGAAATATACCATTATAAATGCAATCCAGATTCATGAATAACTCAAGTTTTTGCCATTTTTGGGTATTTATCACTAAACATTTAAATTTTTTTAGCAAATTATAAAACACATCTTTGTGCATATTTGAACACAAAATAATATATAAATCATTTTCATGTAATATAAATACTGTGATAAAAAGTAAGTTTCTAAAGGGATTTGATAAACACCTTTAAAGGATACCTGATCAACTAAGCTGTGACTCGTGTCAGGGTGTGAACAGCTGTGTTGAGCAGCTTGGTTGATCAAAGCACCAATCAGGAGGCCTGGTTAGAGACCGAGCAGTGGGGAGGTTGATTCTCGGAATCATTGACTGGGGAATCATTGACAGCCCTATACATGGGGCTGAATGCTGGTTCCTTGTAGCTAGCACCACTGAGATATCTCCACATGAGTCGTATTGGCTCCAGGAGTCCTTAAATTACTAGCCTACCGGACCAGAGGTGTAGGGGACCATGCAACCTAAAGTTCATCCACACCAAGGAAACATCCTTGGTGTGGAAAGGACATCCTTACCATCCTTGGTAAGAAAGCAAAGTAAAACAGACAACTGCGGGTTCACAAAATTAAGAAAGGAATCAGCAAACAACTCCACAAAACATCCCATCCAGCACTGTAGTCAAGTGACACTCTTTAGTTATGGTTGGCTACTGCCAGGTGGCAGCAGAACTAGGAGCTGCCAGCTCTCCATGTCAGCAGTTCTCAGTCCTTTGCCCGATGTCCACAAGTTTAGATTGTTCCTTGAGTCAACAGCTTTTTGGCTCTTAACATTTTATTAGATAAGTAATTACCTCAGTGTAATTACCAAAGTGTAGTTACAGGATGAGAACAATGCTCGTGGTGTCCTGTCTTCCTGGTACTCTTTAACATACGGTGCTTTGAAAATATGAATGATTTTGCCAACCACCACCACCACCACCTCACTTAATGTGTTCCAACCTTCTACCACTCTACAGAAGTGAACTTTCTCATTTTTTGGTGTAGAGTTGTTTCCTTAGCTTAAATCCGTGAGTTCGTGTTCTTAAAGTTCCAGGTTTAAAAATTCTTCTTTCTCCGTTTTGTCTATTCCCGTTATTATTTTGTATGTTGTGATCATATTACCTTTTCTTTCTTCTAGCTTTTAACTTTGGCATAGTTAACGACTCTAGCCTCTCCTTGTAGTTCATCTTTCAGTTCTGGAAGCTATTTTATTGCATGTCTTTGCACTTTTCGGTTTGATATGGGCACCATACAACTGCTACATATTCCAATTTTGGTCTCACAAAGGTCATGAACAATTTCTTTAGTATTTCAACATTCAAGTATTTAAAAACAATTGTGAAATTGGAAAGTGTAGCATAGGCTACTCCCACAATGTTCTTTATGTGGTGCTCAGAGGACAGTTTCCTGTCTACAATCACCCATAGATCTCTTTGTTTATCAGAATTCTTTAAAGCCTCTTCATGTAATTTGTAAGTTGTGTGTGACCTATTTTCTTGTATTCCACATTCTAAAATGTGGCATTTTATTCACATTAAATTCCATCTGCCAAGTGTTGCTCCATACACTTATTTTGTCCAGGTCATCTTAAAGGCCATGACAATCAATCAAGTTTCTTATCTTCCCTAGTAGCTTAGCATCATCAGCAAACATGTTCATATAATTCAGTATTCCTTCTGATAGATTGTTCATATAAATGAACAATATAAACATTACTTTTGCAATAACTAAGCCCTGAGGTATTCCACTATTAATATTTTTCCAGTCTGATACATTGCCTCTGATCGATTTTCTATCCGTTAGAAAATTTTCCATCCATGTCACCCCTCCAGTATATTCCAGTTTCCAGAGTAGTGTCTTATGCGGAACTCAGGCTGGCTCGCTGGCACACCTGCCTGCCTGCTACTCTGGCTGGTTTCCTACCTGCCCTGCTGGCTCTCTGGCCTGCCTGCCTGCCTGCCTGCCTGCCTGCCTGCCTGCCTGCCTGCCTGCCTGCCTGCCAGTCAATTGTTGTAAACATCTTTAGCAGTCATCTACCAGTTAAACATAACGTTAATGGAATTAATTCTCTCATTTTCAGTCAACAATGTTGGAGTGCTTGGCAGTGGACCGTGTTTCTTTAAGGATATGGTTGACGATGACCTCTGGGCACTTATTAATGTAAACACAGCATCCGTGCCAGCTATGACAAAATTAGTGCTACCTGGCATGTTAGCTTGCAAGAAAGGTGCCATCATCAATATTAGCTCAAGTGCAGGACATATGTCAGTGCCACTTATTCAGGTTTATTGTGCAACAAAGGTAAGGAATAACTTTGGGTATTGTGAGAGGATAGATTACCGGCTAGCTTTTAAACTATGTATTGGAGTGCATGCCGTCAGTTTGTACCTTGACACGAGTGCACCAGAGTACAGTCACTCTAGATTCTGTAATTCTCAAGCTAGCATTTTTGTTGTTTGGTGTCATAGCATAGCAACTCTAAGCCATTCACCCCAAGGGCCTTACGATCAGGAAATGGAGCCACGTAATGAGGAGGGCACTGATTCCTAGCCAATGAAGAGAGATCCATGTTGGGGTGCCTAAACATCTCATAAAGCCACTTGAAGAAGGCAATGTTGAATGGTGCAGTCACGGAGGGCCCGCACACTCTCAGGACCCCCATCTCCACTGAAGGCGGTGGAGATGGAAAGGAACCGGGATAGAACGTCCTCGAGAACAATGGACAATCCCAGAACATGAACTACGCATAAACCAAACCATGAGAAGCCAGCAGACAAGCTACTTGTAGTGTCCAGCTCCGAAGGACAATGGACCAAAAGGAAGATGAAAGGGAACAGAAGATGAACAAAAGTGCACTTGCACTGCATCAGGCTTGGATACCCAAGTGCATGCGAAATAGAGGCTCCAAGAAGAGAAGAACAGAAATGATAGCTTAGTCAGGTGATTTAAAAAAAATTATGAGATGTGCAAATGACTTGACTACCAAAAATATTTATTTATTAATTAATTAATTAATTAATTCATTCATATATTTATTTATTTATTTAATTTATTTATTAATATACAAGAAGGTACATTGGGTTTATTAGAGTACAGAGAATTGAAGTTTTACATTCTTGTAAAGCCACTAGCACTCATTGCGTTTCGGGCAGATACTTAATCTAACATATAATTTTAAGAAGGTAATTTCTAGCAAAATCAAAAAATGTTTAAAGGTACATTGTAAGAAGGTATAAAAAATACATTGTAAAAAAGTATAAAAATACATTGTAAGAAGGTATAAAAATGCATCGTAAGCAAGTATAAAAAAAACATTGTATAATAAATATGATGGAGAAAAAAGTAAGCACATTAAAGTAAATTTAAGGGTTATCCACAGGTACATTTTAGCATAATTTGAGGATCATTGCAAGATATAATGTAGCAAACTATGTGTATAACATGATATAAGATAACAGCAATGATTACAATGGTAAAGTTGTATGGCATAGGTGCATATTTTGGGGAATTGGGTAGCACTAGATACAGTGCAAGTTTCAAGCACTAGGTAGGAAACTATGAAGATATAAGTGCACTATTTATATAGTGTACTTATAAGTACTGTACAAGTGTAATGCAAGTATAAAGTATTTGCACTACACTTCTGCAAGGTGAAAACAAAAGTTTCGAAAGATGAAAACAAGTTACTTGACTGAATCCAGTGTCTCAACCTTCCAAAATGGCAATAGACCAAGTAGGAATGATGTCAGAAGATTTGAGGAAGAGGTCATGATTACAGTGAGGGTGCTGCCATCTTATGGTTGTCAAGAACTCAGCTTCAAAATACACTCATAGATATACAAACACATGCTCTTTCTTTTTGCACCCAGCAACATTACGTTTTGTTTAATATCAAATAATTTTGTTCTCTTTGCAGTCATTCGTCAGCCGCTTTTCTGAAATATTGCCGTTTGAGTGCCGGTCATCTGGTATAACTGTGCAGTATATCACACCTTTTGTAGTTTCAACCAACATGACTAGTTTTGATGCACAAATAAATAAAGAAGGTAAGATTGGCCAATAGGAATTAAAGATTTGCATTTAATTTTAGATTTGACAAAAGTTGCATTAGACTCACTGATTCAGTATATGGTTGTACAGGCAAACCTCAAAAATCCACATTATATTGTTCCAGACTATCTACACTTACTGGAAATCTTCTTTGACTGAAATTTGCACTTTCTGGGATTGAACTCTCAGAAAGGTTTCCTGGATAGTCCCACACATATCATGTTACATCAGATTCTTGCGAGTCAGTAATGCCTACTGGAGGCAAGTGACAAAATCTGGTCCACTTAAAGAGGCACAGGGAGCAAGGGGATACTAAATAACCCGAACCAAGAAGAAAAGTCACCAGAAGGTAGGGAAGAGTACACAAAAACACAGCTGCAAGGAAAATATTAGCAAAACTGACATCTAGGAATTCAATAGTTAGGTCATTAGTACCACTAGTTTCACGACCCCCCCACCAGGTGGCAGGTTCAGCAGCTCAAACTTTAACTGGGAAAAACCCATCAAACATATTCTGCCCTAATATGTTAACAATATTGTGGCACAATTGACTAAGGCGCGTTTGGGATCATTTCGGACGTAGGTTCGAACCCTCATCGCGGCTCTTGTGGATATGTTCATGTTCTGTCTAATAAGCAGAAGTCCCAAAGAGAGAACAGAAAACCATCGAGGGGTCTAACAAATGGATATATTTAAGTACACTTGATGCATGATTTCTGAATGGCCTCTCACTGGCATCCTGGATCTCTCACCATGAAAATATAACAAAAAAATGGGACTCTTCAGAGGCAGAGGAGATCAGCAGCCAATAACCCCCGAAGGAAATGTAAGAAACCAGTGTTGAATGTAATGAAATGCCAATTTCTGGGCGAGCCCCTGAGACTCCCTGAAGCTTTCACACTGATTAAGTGCCATACTACTAGGTGTCATCAGTCGCGGAGTTCTGTTGGCCTACCAGGTAATACGACCCAGAACCTGGCCCCCCTCAGAGAGGCGCATGGGCCGATGGCCTATGAACAACCCAAACTATTTCTTCACAAGTGAAATCAAAATAAAAAATCTTCTCCAGTATTGGACCTATACATACAAGTAAAGGTTCCTATACAGAGAAAGATATAAATTTGTGACATTTCTAAAGATACGTTTAGATACGTATGAGGCTATGTTTAGCATCCCAATAAACAACATGAAAGTGGGAGATCCTGACAGCTTCTTTATGAATGATAGCCAAACTCTCTTATAATATAACTAATATCAACATAAACACTGCAGATTTTGACAGAGAAATTTACAACATACAATCAGCTCCAGGTCCAGACTATTGAAATTCCATGTTTAGAAAGAAATGTAAAGTGCCAGTAGCACAAGTGCTCAATGTAGTTTTGAGAAAAAGCTTGGCTTTAGGAGATACAACAAGAATTTAAATCAGCAGATATAGCTCCACTACACAAGGGAGGGAACAAAGCATTGGCAAAAAATTATACACCAATTGCACTAACATTACACATAATTAAAGTTTTGAAAGAGTGATTAGAAATTAAATCTCTAGTTTTATGAAGAACAATGAACTTCACAACCCAGGTAAGCATGGATTTATAGCAGGGAGATCCTGTCTTTTGCAATTACTCAACCACTATCACAAAATCATGGAAGCATTAGAAGAAAAGGAAAATGCAGATGATGCACATGAACTTTACAAAGGCACTTGATAAGTGTAACCATGGAGTGATAACCCATAAGATTTGATTAAGAGGAATAACAGGTAAAGTTGGGATTTTAAATCATGTCAAACAGGATGCAGAGTAACAGTCGATCATATAAAATCAAGTCCAAGTGCATTGAAAAGCTCTGTACCCCAGGACACCATCCTTGCACCACTGCTTTTATTCATTCTCATATCAGATATAGACAAACATACAATAATAATAATTTATTTACAAGAGATTTGCAATGGGTTGGTAAGATTACATAATATAGATAGTTTTACATTCATGCAAAGCCACTAACAGGCATAGCATTTTGGCCAGGTTCTTAATTTAACATATCAGGCAAGATGAAATGGTACATTGTAGCAAGGTTTTTATATCAGCAAATAACTACAACATAAGTTGACAGCGGTGATTACACTGGTGAAGATGTATGTCTTAAGTACTAATATTGGGGAAGTGGGCAGTACAAGCTACAGTGTGAGTTTGAAGCACAAGGTAGGAAACTATGAGGATGAAATTAGGTACCTTTTAATTTTACTTTTGAACAGGACATGTGTTGGACAATTTTTTAATTCATCAGGGAGTGGGTTCCAAAGACTGGGGCCTTTTATTTGCATGGAGTGTTTGCACAGATTTATTTATTTATTTATTTATATACAAGAAGGTACATTGGGTTTATGAGAGTACAGAGACTTGATGTTTTACATTCTTGTAAAGCCACTAGCACGCATAGCGTTTCGGGCAGATCCTTAATCTAACATATAATTTAGTATGACTGAGGATAGTCAGACTATGACACAAGTCACATCTTTGTGTCATCTTTTGCAAAGGATACAAAAATCAACATGTAAATTACCTCTGTAGAAAATACTGAAAAACTACAAGCCAATGTTATTGAAGTCTTCAAATGAGTAGAGGAAAATAACATAATATTTAGCAGCTATAAGTTCTTAGGTATGGTAGAAATGAAGAACTTAAACAAAATACAAGGTACAAGACACAGTCGGATCTACACAGTCAGATTGAAGGTAAACATACAAAAAGATCTGGGGGTTATGATGTCTGATGACCTGACATTTAATAAACATAACCAAGCAAATATAAATTTAGCCAGGAATATGATAGGATAGATTCTGTGAATTTTCAAATCCTGGGATCTCACCAATGTTAATACTATTTAAATCACTGATGCTGCCCCACCTCGAGTACTGCTCGGTACTCACTCACCCTTTCAGAGCAGGAGAGATTTTTGGAATAGAGGGGGAATACAGAGAACATACTGTATACTGTATGTCATAGATATGTATGGTAAAGTACTGTACCTAAATTATTATCTCAACGCTCTAAAAATGCTCTGGAAGGAGACTAGGAATCGAATAACATATCCTGTACATGGAAGATACTGGAAGGCCAGGTCCTAAATTTGTGCAGTAAAATAACAGCATAATGGAGCAAAAGGTACAGAAAGCATTGTAGAATATAACCAATGAGGAGTAGAGATGCCAAAGAAACAATCATAGATGCTGTATGTACCATTATGTTTTAATTTCGCACAGTCGATGTTTTGGGTTGGCTCAGCCAATGTTTTGAGTATCCTTGTGGTTTGGATTAGCTTTTGTGCCATATGCTACCATTTCAGTAAGTGTTGGGGCTATAGCTGCCATGGTGGAGTCATTGGACAGTTCTGAAATGGTCACTATTAGAATTGTGTATCTATGCAATAAAATATAAGTTAAATTTATTCCTTTATTATTTTTTCCGGCAGGTTTCTTCACTCCAAATGCCAATACTTTTGCTGCTCATGCTCTCTCTACGCTGGGTTATACTCAGCAGACCGCTGGCTACTGGACACATGGGATTCAGGTGAAGTTAACATCCTTAAATTTTCTTGTGTTAATTTACTTATATGACTGATGAGGCTCAAGTGTTCTATCCTATCTATAATATATAATAATATTTTTATTTAGTTAAAGTACATACATAGATGCAGAGTTACAAACATACTGTTGGATTTATAGATAGAGCTAGTACATACAATACCTAAAGCCACTAATACGCATAGTGTTTTGGGCAAGGTGTGGAGGAAAAACACTTAAACTAAAACTTAATAATAATTAGTAGTAAAGTATAAATTGTGTAGAAAAAAGGGATAAAAAAAAAAGGGGGGGGGGGGGAACATGGCAAGGGGATCTGAAATAATAGTAAGATCAGCTTAGGTTTAGTTTAAAGCAGGGTTACTAAAAACCTGGATAATTTCTTAAAATCCAACCCAACCTGGGTGGATTGGGTTTGTATCTCTTTAATCATGAGATAAAAAAACACAAGAATAAATTTAAATCGAAATGACTAACTGCAACTCAACTCTTTTACCATGTCGTAGCTCAGTCGATTAAGGATGCAGGTCTGTCTGGGATGCTCTTGGACGCAGGTTCGAATCCTCGTCACGGCCCTTGTGGATTTGTTCATCAGAAATGACTAAGTTGGCCCATATTGAATGCAAAAAAAAAAAAAAAAAAAATTTTTTTAGGGAGCCCCTTGTGCCTCGCTGAAGCTATCTTGCTGAGATGGCTCCCAGCTATTAGATCACACCAGCCATGAAGTGTGATCTTGGTTAGGTTGTTTCGGTAGCAGTGTGTTCTATAGCTATACTCGCCGAGATGAGTATTTTCACTTACACTTTATGGATCTCAAAGAAAAAGAGGCAAGTGTTGGCCAGGAAAAGCATACTGTAGTTGGCAATAGTGTACTGCTGAGTTTTTCTCATTGTATTATTTGTGATTAGTTCTAAATGACACTCTTCATGTTTCAGTCTTGGGTCTACGAGAAGACACCATCATTGCTGCTGACATATATCTACATGTGGAGGTTAAAAGCATCTCTCTCAAACTCAGAAAAATCAAATTGAAAATCTGATATTTTTGTTTTTGTCAGTTTTGTATGGCAGTATATTGTTTAGATTCACAAAAACACATTGAATTTATACAGACAAAACTGTTAAAAGGACTAAAGTTTTTTAATAATCTTCTATTTACTGAATGAATCTGGAGCAGTTATTGTAATACAATAAAACTATCATCCATTATCTTTGTTCACTGCTTGGAAAAAATATTTTGTAATATATTTTGTTAAAAGGGTGGTGGAAGCGAATACTCATGTACATGTATTTAGACTCAAACGGCGAGTTTTTCTTTGAATACTGTTTATTTCCTTCTTCGAGGCTTTGGGTTCCTGCAATTGCACCATATGTTGTACCCCTATTACTTAACCATTGTATATTTACTGTATAACAGCATAAATAGTTTAATATGTGACAGATTTTTACTGTGTAACCAAAAGTAATATTAGAAAGGAAAATTTTAATATATCCTGTTGTTTATGTATATTTTTTCTTTCCTGCTTAAGAGACAAATAATAAACCGAGAAATACTTCCTTATTCAAATTTTTAAATGCACATTTTCTTCACGATACCAGCCCATTCATACAGCTCAACTTTATAATGTTTCTGACGGCCTCATACTTTGAGAGAGCCCTAATTACTGTATTGCTATTTTATTTGGGTCACCACAACGTGGAAGGGTGTGTGTGAGCAGGGAGGGAGGAGACAAAAGTGCACGTGCGTGCCGAGAGGGAGGAGATAGAAGTGCACATGCGTGCCGAGAGGGAGGAGACAGAAGGGCACGTGCGTGCCGAGAGGGAGGAGACAGAAGGGCACGTGCGTGCCGAGAGGGAGGAGACAGAAGTGCACGTGCATGCCGAGAGGGAGGAGACAGAAGTGCACGTGTGTGCCGAGAGGGAGGAGACAGAAGTGCACGTGCATGCCGAGAGGGAGGAGACAGAAGTGCATGTGTGTGCCGAGAGGGAGGAGACAGTACACGTGCATGCCGAGAGGGAGGAGACAGAAGTGCACGTGCGTGCGGAGAGGGAGGAGACAGAAGTGCACGTGCGTGCGGAGAGGGAGGAGACAGAAGGGCACGTGCGTGCCGAGAGGAAGGAGACAGAAGGGCACCCCACACGTCCACCATGTGGGTAGACATGGTGGAAGGGGATATGTGGATATGAGGAGGATGTGAGGGCGTGTGGGTGGGAGATGAGGTGGAAGTGATGGGGAGGAGGATGGAGATAGCATAAAACCGTGTATAGTAATGAAAATACAGTACTGTAGTATGAACTGATGATTGTTTCAGTAATGGGGTGAGTGTAAAGAGAGATTGGGAGAGAGGATCTAGGGTGAAGATGGGAGGGAGTCCTGGGCATTGCCGGGTACCTGAGGGATCCAAACAAATTACTGAACAACTGATCTAAGTACAAAATTCTATATAATCCTATCCCTCATTTAACAGAATTACAAGGTTAAGGACACAGTTTTGTAAACTACAATGTCTTAGGGCGATCATAGAGTGGCCTCTATAACTAATATTGAAGTCTTAAAAATGAGCTTTTCTCAATAACAGCTAATTCGTTAAGTTTTTCATAACTTACCCCCATCCTCTTGTCTTGTATCCTCCTCTCCAGGGGTAGTAGATTTTCGAACTTGAATTGACTTTCATACTTCATCCAGGGTCCCAGAAAGGTAGAGTGCTCAGCTGTAGGAGCAGCCGACACATGGCTGGGACAACAATATGCTCAACCACACTGGCAGTCAGGGCTTTGACCTTGAGATGATTGGGGGGGTCAACCCCCACGGCCCTGTCCTCAACCAGGCCCGCAGGAACAAGTCAGTACACATAATATTCTTAAAAAATATAAAAATAAAATACTTACAGGGTTAAAAACATAAATACTGGAGAAAAGGATTTTTTCTGAGGTTGGAAGAAAACGTGCTCAGATTGGGGACTTGTTTATTTTATAATGGTAAATAATAAATTAATATATAATAAATTAATATATAATAAATTAATATATAAATTATTAAATAATAAATTAATAAATAAAATAATTATTATTATATAATAAATAATAATAATAACATAGTATAATGATAAGCAATTATTTTTAATGAATCAAATAGCTAATTAGGATGAATGATAAATAATTATTGACTAGTGCATAACAATAAAGTATTAAGGAATAATTATAATGAATAATCCTTAATAATAAAGTAGAGACCAATTACAATTAATAACTACATCCATAGGTAGTAAATGAAAGTTGCATTAATTTAATTAGACTAATTACAATTCATGGGAATATTTCTTAGCTATCTGCAGGCTTATCACTTTGGGGGTTCCGGCGGAACTGCTTATGTAAGAGCAGCTGCTGGCTTGGAAGAGGGGCCACGCCGTCTCCGTCCCGGTTTATATAACCTCGGGTCAATGCGCGCGCAGCTTGGGGCGGTTAAAGTCAGCTTCCAGACATACGTTCTCTTCCACTCAGAAAACCCACCGTTTTTGGGAAAACAGTGTTCTTATTCAGCAGTGTACATTATGAAAATTTTCCCACTGGAAAAAATTAAGGCCAGTAGGGTGGGGAGGGGACCTTCAACAAGCTGCTGGCTTCCTGTCCTGTTGAGGCTACTAAAGCTAATGGCCCTCAGGTAAATGAAATTAGAGCATAAGTACAAGAATGAACTAAAGAGCAGGCCTGAAGTAATTCCAGAACATTGCGATGACGGCTTGAAAAGGTCTGAACATGGTTGTGACCAATACCTCCCTGAGCTTGGTGGCCAGAGCCAAGGGTTGTAGGAGAAACTTGGTACTCCAGTACCAAGGGTTGTCGTTGTTGGTGCTCCCAGTTGGTGTGGCCGGGAGTGCACTCTCTTCACTCGTATTCCTCATGACGATGGAATTATTCACTTCAGGAGCATTAAACATTATAGTAGCATTTGCTAATCCAGTAGAATTAGTCAGTCCAGTAGCATTTGTCAGTCCAGTAGAATTTGTCGCTGCATTAGGAGGCTGGGAACCTCTTCGAGGTGCATGCATGTGCTTCCTGGTGTAATACCGGATGTTCAATATGTTTAAGCGAGCGTCGAGTCCAATAAAGTTGTTAATAAGGAACACACAGTGAGCGGGCGATATGATCAGAAGCACCACCATAACCCAGAACAATTTCCGCCAGCCACACATTTTACAACCCAATGGAATATATAACTTGGTAAGTTGTTAGCACTGGAGTCTGCTGGAATACTAAATGTGTTAAGATAATTGATTGATGAGCCACCACTCAAGCCACCCAAGAGGTGGCACGGGCATGAATAGCCGGTAAAATGAATGTGTTAGCAAATTTGTGCGTCTTATAGTCTGGGAGAGGGTGTGGGGGAAGTTGATAGTGAGGTGGACTTTGAAAGTTATCCTCTGTTACTGCATAAGATTAGAGGAAACTGCAGAAGGCCAATCAAATCAAATGTGTTCATTTTGTGCATTTATGATTGAGAAAGTTCATATAAAAATGTACATTAATTACCTAAAAGTCACAAGACCATCACTTTACGTAGATTGAACGTTAGGCTGTAGGTTGACCAAACTACATACTAGAAGATGAAAAGACGACGACGTTTCGGTCTGTCTTGGACCATTATCAAGACCATTGTGATGAGACGATTGATTGATTGATAAAGATTAAGCCACCTAAGAGGTGGCACGGGCATGAATAACCCGTCAGATGAGATGAGAAAGACACGGGCATAGGGCAAGAAAGAGGCGAGGAGGAGGAAAACTTAGATTGTATTCTGTACTATATCTTTTACATATTTCTATCATATTCACATATTTCTATCATATTCACATATTTCTATCATATTCACATATTTCTATCGTACTCGCATATTTCTATCATATTCAAATATTCAGGCGATGAGTCACAATAACTTGAATCGACTTGAGAATGGTCCAGGACGGACCGAAACGTCGTCGTCCCTTCAATTTCTAGTGTGTGGTCTGGTCAACATATTCAAATATTTCTATCATATTCAAATATTTCTGTCATATTCACATATTTCTATCAAATTTCCCATGGCCTCTTTGATGGTTCAAGTTCAAGTAAGTTTATTGAGAAAAGGAAGTACATCTCAAAAGGATTGAATACTTTAGGCTATTTCTATCCTCGTCTATATAAGGTCTCTCAAGGGGCTCACAAACCCTTACAGTACACAATTATTAATTATATTCTACATGTCACATTCCAATGGTAATCACATGATATATTGTGGGATCTCTTATTGATTATGCTGCCCCCTGTCATATGTTGGTAAAGGCAGACTAAACAAATTGGAGAAGGTACAAAATGAATTCATGAGAATAATACCAAAATTATTCTCATGACCCAAGAAAATACTATTACTGAGATAATAATGATATGTTAACTAGACCACACACTAGAAGGTGAAGGGACGACGACGTTTCGGTCCGTCCGTTCGGACCATTCTCAAGTCGATCGACTTGAGAATGGTCCAGGACGGACCGAAACGTCGTCGTCCCTTCACCTTCTAGTGTGTGGTCTGGTCAACATAATTTAGCCACGTTATTGTGACTCATCGCCTGCAATAATGATATGATTGATCTTACAGAGTAATGTGGATAGAAGTTCAGAGATAAATGAAGCTTCAGCGATTAGACTAATGAGAGGCGAGGGAGCTAATGAATTAATCCTCTCACTTCAAAAGATGGGAAGAAATGTATAATGCACGTGAAAACATAATAGACCCTAACATACACATAACATAAACCCTAACATATATGGCTACTCCTTCTCCTCGTATAATATATCTGTGTGAGATAGTTTAAATCCGTGTATTTGATATTCAGCTAATAGTTCTCTGTTTTCTACATTCATCCATGTTTCGGTAAGTGCAATAATATATATATTTTTTGTCTGCGCAGACATGAGCATTTAAATAGTGTATTTTGTTTCTTAGACTCATACTGATCATGCAATATTCCCTAAGTGTATTGTTATTTTGAGGCCCTTCTCCTTCCGGTCGCCGAGCGGACAGCACACTGGACTTGTGATCCTGTGGACCCGGGTTCGATCCCGGGCGCCGGCGAGAAACAATGGGCAGAGTTTCTTTCACCCTATGCCCCTGTTACCTAGCAGTAAAATGGGTTCCTGGGTGTTAGTCAGCTGTCACGGGCTGCTTCCTGGGGGTGGAGGCCTGGTCGAGGACCGGGCCGCGAGGACACTAAAGCCCCGAAATCATCTCAAGATAACCTCAAGAAGATAACCTTCCCTGTTAATTTTGCCATTTTTTCCCGCTGCCAACACAATTTTATTACCTCCTTTCTCCATATCAATTCCCATCCCACTATCTACTAACAGTTTAAACCCAAACAAACCCCTCCCACCACAGGTTCCAACGAGTTGGCAACAGCA